TTTAAATGTATGACAGGCATGGTCCCAGAGTATTTAGGAAACAAATTTATTTCCAGAGGTAACATAAGTGGGTGGGTGACTAGAAGTTTGCAACAATTGAATATTCCATTATTTAAAACTTAATCAGGGCAGCAATTCTTTTCTTACAAAATTGTTAAAATATGGAATTATTTACCACCTGAAATCAAGCTTAGCCAATTGCTAAATGATTTAAGTGTAATTTAAGGAAGCATCTTTTGAAATACTTTTTACAATGAGTTATTCCACCATCCTTTTAGCTAGCCTTATTTCCTTTTTTTATAACCCTTTTGATATTTACCCTTCATTTCATTGACTATTATTGTAAACCGCAACTGAAAAACCCCCATGGGGAATTGCTAACAAAGTATTGTTTTGTATAGGTAAATGGGAAGGTTATTGACACATCAGTCCCTTTTTATGTAGAAGAAACTGGGTCAGTCCAGAACAGCTTGAAAATGATTGTCCTTTCAACTTTTAAACCCATAACGATTCATTTTTATTTCTTTTTTTCATTATCATACTTTGTCTTACAATAATTAATGAAAATGTGTTTTGTCACTTCAACCCCCACTTTATAATTTTTTGAACTCAGAGGCTCTTCCTGGCACACATGCCTACCTTTGCACCTTTTCCAATAAATGAAACCTTTTTTAAAGTCAGTAGTGGTAAGCTTTAGGTAGTTGTGTACTTTTCTTACTTATGTGTGTATTTTATACCTGTAGACACTGAGTAAGAAATACATACGATGTTCAGCTCGCATGATGGTGGTTCAACTTCAGAAGCTCTTACGAATGAAGCTCAACATTCCCAATGAAAAAGAGGTGGGCAAAATTTTTATTTTGAACTAACAGAACTTCATCGTCACACAATTCTGTTTAAGCCCTGACCAGAGTCATTTCTTTGTGTTCTTGGGTAGGTCACTTCACCCTGCAGGGCCTCTTTCCACCCAGGTTTATAAATGGGTAGCAAAACATTGTTAGCAAAATCTGAAAAAGAGCTGTGAGGTAACCTTTGATTGACTATAATTTTATCCATGATGAGTAACAATAACCCTTGCTTCTTTATGCAACAGAAACCTGGATAAGCTCTGGCAGTCAAACAAGACTTGGCAGCAGCTGTTATCAGCTTTACAATTTAGTGTTGTATTTTTGAACTCAGAGATGATATGTTTTCATGCTACAGGTGGAAATTGTGTGTAATGAACATGTGATTCATCCATTCAGAACCATGAAGTTTATTTGGATAAGCGAGTGGTTAGGCAAGGTGATTATGTATTTTTGTATTTTTTTGTCTCTCTATGTGGGTAATGGTCAAGATTATACTCACCCTTTTTTCGCAAACATCCAACATTCATCAAATTGATTCATGTTTTCTGGTCACCACATTCCCAAAAAATAGCATAACTCCATTTTCTACACATAAACACATGCACAACCCACAATTCCTCCAATCACTCTGATGAATGGCTAACCCTCAAAAAGTCAGCTTTGAAACTCTTTAGGGTGGCCAATTTACATTATCAACTCAGTTGATAAAACCAAATTATCTTGTTCTATTTCCCCATGGACACAGCACCACACTCTCTTTAGAAGCTTACCCCCTCTACCTAATATTATGGTTTGCCGCCAATGTGAGCTATTGAAGGGAGTTTACAAGATGCCATACTTATTACAAGCAAAATCAACTGGCCTTCCTCCTACAAGTTAGGATTTTAACTGCTTTGTGTTTGTTAGGAATTTTTTTTTTACACTGTTTAATTACACTCACTCAGAATATACCTTGTGGGGGAGCTGTAAAGTTAGATGATTTATTTATTTGTTATAATTAAAAGATTATTCATGAATTTATTTATTTATGTATTATAATTCAAATATTAGTAGGTTAGTTTTGTTTGGATACTAGCAAGATATTTAGTTTCAGTTACCTGAACCCTTTAATTTCTAAAAGAGATTAACATGTAATTTCTCCTTATAATATTCATACATTATTCAGCAAAAAGCTTTTGAGAATACTCTAACGTAACAGGGAGAAGTCATCTCGATCTAAAACCAAATTCACGTTGCAAATTTACAAAGAAAGATGTAGCAGTTAGAGATCTTGTGAGTTAAAGGATTAAACCATAGGAAAGAATGTTGATAATATGAACACTGATTTATGAATCAGATCCTCTTTCGGCCTTTGAATTTCGACCTACTTAACATGTCGTGCCACTAACTACCAAAGGCTATCTTTTTTAAATCAATATATCTCGCAGAAGCTGTCCTTCTTTTTCTATTATTGAATATTGAATCCAATTTTTGTCTTTTTCCCCAGGCACCACCTATGGTATTACATTACCGTGTTCATGATATCTCTTAAGAACTGTCGTACTTTAAACAATTGTGCACAAGATGGCACATGTGCTGAATGGATGATGCCTCAATTACGCCAGAGAAGACAACGAAGATGTCAACTTTGTAAGATACGGAAAGCCAGTGCATAAAAAATAATGATAGTAATGACTGGGTTGTTCGCTTACCACGTTTAATCTTCAGTTGTTGTTACCAGTAGGACTGAAGTTGACTGAGAATGGAATTTGCCTAGTGTCCATCCAATGGCTTTAGAAAATTCATGATACAGTCGATTATACTACAAACAACATGAGTGGATCAAAAATTGTGAGGTCAACAAGTCGTCACCAGTACGAGTCATGAACTGCACAGCCCTTTTGTTGGTAAATGATTCTCGAAAATCGACTCTCTGACTGATGAAAAGATGCGTGTACCCCTAGAATTTGTGAAACACTGTCTTTTGCCTCTGTCTTTCTTGGCCTAAATCTTGACTCATGAAACGCGAAAGAAGAATGTGGCAGGCATCCAGCCGTCTTGACCCCATAATGATACTAAGTTATACAATGTCATGCAGGTGGCGTGGGTTTTAACGAGCTGGGTTTATTGTCACAGTGGTGTTGATATTTCGTAGACTACGAGCAGCTCCTTTCTACCATCTCATTTCACTTCTAGTGTTAAAAGAAATCCGTCGGCGCCGCACAGACTCTGAGAGTGAACTCTCTGTAAAGAGAACTCTGCCACCTTCTTCTTCTTTTCGCCGAATTCATTTAACTTAACGCGACAGACTAAGCTGGTGAGGAGCAGCTCGCGATAAAACACTCGCTATCAGTGCCAGACCCCTCGCAAACTTGCCATGCCTAAGGCATCACACTTACTTGCGAGCGAAGAAACGCACTTGCAACAGGGCTACAAATGATAGGCCTGCTCTGGGGCTAGTAAGGAGGGACTGATCTCAGACGAACACAATGAGACACGTTCAGCAGCAAATAATGTAAATAAAATATTAAAGTAAATATTGTGTTTTAGTAAAGTGTGTGAATGGGTTAAGAGGCGTTGGGCTTTTATCTAAACAAGTGGATTAGAGATTATGTTTATGTATAGATAAGAACTAATGAGATAAGAGGTTAAGATGACAAAGATTCATCGCGGCCTCTGTGCATACTCTTATTCTATGAACTTTTCCCTTTGCTGGTATGCCCCGTGTATGTCTACGTTAGTCGCTTGAAAGCGAAAGACAACAACAACAACATCAAATGCAAACAAACAAAGTAGGGGTAAAAAGTAAAGAATCATAGACTTTCCTTCATAATAGTTAGCACTGCTTGTGATTTGTTGGTCAGGACTAGCACTGGGTATCAAACAAATACCCAAAATGTTGTTGATCATTTTAACCGTTTACACCCAAACATTAGTATCCATATTTTTTATACTCTTTTCTCCACATTTCCTTTGGTACTGACAAGGAGAATTTGTTTAAAAATCAAAGCTTCTAAGGTTGGCGACCATTTCCCTTTATCACTGTAAGGAGAAATTAGATGTTGGTCACTCAGGGTTTAAAGAGTCTAAAAGGATTAAGAAGCAATCGAACAAAGCAGTCTATCACAGGAACAGAGTACCGTTATTTATCACGGATAAAGGGCTGAGTTTCTAAAGAAACTGTGGTGCTGCGTAACACAAGATAATTTATTTTTATCGCCTGATGAAGGGCTTACGCTTAAAACGTAAGCTTAGAAACTATTTACGGTGGCAAATTTACATTATCAACTTAGTTATTTATTATGAACCTTTTTTGGGGGGGATGCGAAATATCTGGCCACTGATTAATCTCCATCTTAACATTTGTTATACGTTTAACCGTAGCTATGGTAACTGTGTAAGTTGAAAGGGTCGTCAATGACAGGGCAATTTTTTAAAACTGGACTTGTAAAGAATTGATCGTCATAGAATAGAAGTATTGAATCTTCATGCTGACGTATTTATTTTTTAGTCACCTTAGCCCTTCAACTCCCACGAGTGACTAAGACAGAATTTCTCCTTACAATATCAATACAATGTCAAGCAGAGAGGTGATGGGAATTAATAAAAATATAATTAGCGGGGAATTATTGGTTGATCTAATGCCAAATTCTCTGAACCAACATCACGAGAATTGTATGGCAGACAGTAAGGAGTATTACTAATGCGATCTGGGAGTGAAAGCGTTAAAAGAATAGGGGAGCCGGCAAAAAAAGAGGACAAAAAAATCCTGAAAAATATGTTTCTTTTTGTCTTATGCAACACGGAACAGTGACTACCGTGTCTAATGTACAATAAATATTTACTTCCATAATTTCAAATGCAATTATTCCTGTCAATTTCCACGGTCGACTCGGGCGTAAGAAGTAACACATTAACACGCAACTTTGTCATGAACGAGTAAGATACAATGAATACACGATGCGTAATACTGTAATAATACGTATGACAAGGTCATGATCATAATTTGAAACTTTCCATTTGGAAAACCTCAGCAATAAAATTTGATCTAAAATCGATAGATAAATTCATCATTGATTTAGCTGTGCTACGCCTTTTCTGTGGTTTGCTGGTCGAGTAGACTGAGAGCTCTGCTTGCCCGTCAAGCGCTAGCGCCTGTCAATTTACTGTACTCGCTGTCTTGGAACATGTCTTCATTTATAGCTGTTCACACCACTGCTTGTCAGAAGATATTTAGAAGCGACGGTTCGCTCGGAATGGAGGCGTGAAGAAAATTCTCCGTCAGTTTGCGATGCATTGGAACTAAAATAACTTGAGACTTGGTCTATAATGAAGTAAGAGGGGACAGCCCTTAAAGAAAGTAAGTACAATGTATCAATCAAACTGTGCTACAAATGTTTATCAGTCTTCAAATGTAAGTAGCTTAAAGTCACCTCTTCCTTCAAGTAAGGAAGGTTACAGAGATGATATTTGTCCACGCTTTTGATCAGACAACGGATACGTAAGAATGGGGTTAGAGGTTCTGGTCAAAGTTAAAGTGGACGTATCATCTGACCAATGACAAAGCGTTCATGGTCATACGTTTGGCAAGTGGCAATGGCTACTAAGGACTAAAAACGGGGTTAAATAACCCGAATGATTCGAGACAGAAGACTGGAGATAGGATCCCCGTTCACCAGGTCCTATTTCCGTATAATGTGCTTAGTGGCATAAGGAAATCAATCCAATGTTTTTGGTTTACTTTGCATTATCACAAACAATCTTAGCCAAATGTAACTTTGGTTTTGTGACCTCCCTTATTTAAAGGCATTTCTCTTTTCATACCTTAAATCTCCATCTCGTGACACAAATAAACTTAAGCGTGTGGTCCTTGCCAAGAATTTCGTCATTGCAAAGAATATCCACCTGCAATTATTAATAAGTCGTAGTAAATGCGCTTATTGCGGTTTAAACGCGTTTCTCAATCAAAACCGGAGAAAGAGAGGAGCAATTTTTAATACTTGTTAACAAAGAGAAGTAGATGAATGATGACGGCTCGCGTAAATGTACTTTCTCTCCATTGGACCTAGACCTAGAAAAGCTATCCTCAGCAAACCAAAAAAAAATTCTAAGGTGCTTGGCAAGAGTTATGGCCCATTTTCGACCGGCGTGATCGTCATTGATCATAGGAAACTGTCCTTGTTTTGGAGCGCGCGGGTTCTGATCACGCCCTGCCACGAACTTTTGTTGGAAATTGATGGATGTATCCAAGTTGTAATACTCTTTGCCTAGTTACTTGACTTCTTCTTGCAATGATAAATCTCTTCAATCGCCACAGATTCCCTTAGATTCCACTTAAAAAGCCCAGCTCTTCTAAGACCACGAATAATCATGCATAATCACAGAACAATGATTTACTCACGTCTTTGTGGTCGTCCAGACTCAACTTCTTCGCGAGAAATTTTTTGAGATGTAACACAGTTGCTTGTGAGGATAGCCGTAGGTACTTGCGAGGTAACGGCTGCAGTGAACGACAATTGTTTTAGGCTCAAGTATCAGGAGTTAAAGCACTAACTAAAAAGTAGCTGTAACGTTTATTAAGAGTGACATTTGACTAATTATAAATCATTTGAAAAACAAACACCTACTGCAAGGGACAAATTACACTGCCAACTCCTAAGAGCAACTTCCAAATCGATTTTTGGAATGGCTATTAATGTATTTCAAGTTTACACTACTGACTTCTGACAAATTTTTTTTCCGAGAACGGATATATATATATATATGCAGTCACCACAAAGATTGGAAACTTCAAATGGACGACTCTGCACGTGCATACACGTGCTTTTCGCACACTCGTTCGCTTAGCAGGAGTACCTTGACCAAATATACACAATTACTGCACAATCATGAGAGATAATGAGCTGGTAAAATTATGGAATTCAGAAGATAAGGTTCTAAACAATACCTTCAGGGAGTATTTTCCGTTTGCTCTGTAAAGAAAACAAGAGAAAGTTGAATTAGAGAATTTTCAACGACTAGATGAGTTTAGTATGAGCTTACTTCATCCTAAACTAGCTCGGTTCAGCCGAAGCTCTGATGTTCTTGAACACGCATATACTCGCATTCCAAGTTAGAACGCTTGATTCAGCTGAATCAGCCGCGTTCGTGAACATGCATGAACCACACTTGACGAAACTAATAACTGATGAAGCTTGTTTTATGCCTGTATTGGGTGTCGTTAAAACCTCTCCCAAAACCCAGACTAATCACAACGGTCAATCATGACAAAGATAAATATTCTAAGGAACCAATGAGAACTCAAACTAAGAACAAGCGAATTGCCATTGGTAGAGAGAGAGAGAGACAAAAGTTTTAACCACCAATAACAACGCGAGGAAAGTCAAACTGATTCCTGAATCTCGGATTAACCCTTTAACTCCCAAGATCTCTTTAGTAATTCTCCTTACTGTCTACCATACAGTTCTTGTGATGTTAGCTTGCAGAATTTGGTATTAGATCACCTTATAATCCCCTAACTGATACTTTTCTTCATTCTCATTACTTGTTTGCTTGATATTGTATTGATATTGTAAGGAGAAATTCTGTCTTGGTCACTTATGGGAGTTAAAGGATTAACTGAGCTCTGTTCAGTGATAACTTCTGATCCAAAAGAGAAGTGGTTGTACTTCAATGAAAAGTTACGGAAGATAAAAAAATAATGAGCTCGTAGTTAGTCCTTCAAAAACCGTCAGACGGATCTCATTTTTCAGTACCTGTAACATTCCATGCATATAGCTACTTGTTCATCCCCACGGTGGTAATCCTGATTTTCTTCTTTCTCGTTTGATGTACAAGATGACGATGGAGATGGATTGTCAGCTATTAAAAAAAAAATATATTGAAACATTATGATGCTTTTATTGACCGAGCAAGAAGGTCAGACGGGGAAATATTTGACTCGAGGTCATGGCCTACGGACCGAGCGCAATGTGTTACCGAAAGCCAAATATTTTCCCATCCAACCCGACCTAACTCAGTCAATAGGTATTTGATCAATTGACCGCTCTTTTACTTTCTTCTTCTGTTTTCCATGCCTTTTACATCCCGTGGGGCGTTTCTCAAGGCTGTGCGGCTTTTCACAGCCCGCCTGCACCATCGTATACGTCCCTCGTAAGAAAATTTTTTTAATCTATTAAGACAAAAGCGTGCATGGTCACAAGGGTCATGTGGTAAAAGAAAACTGTCACTTATTTTTCCCGTAGTGAACTTTGATCTTACTCTCACTCAGCATCAAAACGAATATCTAGAAAGTACAACAACGTGTTCCGTGCAATTCGTTGAGTTTGACGTTTAATAAAGTTATACCTCGAAGCGCATTAACGAAACGAACATGACCAGTTTGAGCTCTTTGGATGTTGCAGCATAGCGCTTTCAGATTAAGCTCTGTGATGAAACAAAAACCGTTCGATAATCGTTTCACGCACGTACGTTTACATTAGGAACTTGGTTGCTGCAGTTGTATCCAAGTTTCCCCATTTAATTCTGTGACAACCGCTTTCCTCAAGATAGGAACACAGGCGTAGCAAAAAAAAAAAAAAAAAAAAACAGACTGAATATGGAGTGTAGCACAGACGAAGTCAAAGGCGTAATAAGTGCAAAAATCCGTCTCGTTAACTCACCGTGTGTTTTAGTTAAATTCATGGCGTTGTATTCGTTTTGTTGTTCGCCCGTGCGGTACATAAACATGGCCACTTCAAATTCTTTCTGCCTTTGGAGCTCTCCTAACAAGTTAAAATTAATTTACATGAGTGACAAAATTTAGCCTTCAGAAATTCATCTCCTATTGAAAAAAAATGTTTAGAATCGTTTTCATTTATCAAAACCAAAAACGATTCGACGTGAAGAGTGAGGGATGGGTGCAACTCTAACCTGCCAAAAAAGGGGAATCGAAAATAAGGCTTATAACCACTCGGTGGAGATTTAAGCGTCTAGACGTTTTTTGTAGGAGACGCTCTGAAAAAAAAAATCATTTTGAACCTCGCTAGGAGTTTTAAAACGGAAAGGCATTTCCAAACATTCCGACGGGTGCACTCATTTCGCCCTTCTCGTGAGTGAGGCTAGAAAACTTAAATTGTCGGTGAGATTTCGAAATCTTCAAATTTGATTTTCAGACTTTTGTAAGTCTGTATGGTTCTGCAATATCATAACTAGCGCGTGTCTGAGGCTTTGAGAGGAGAAACGGTCAAGTTGAAAAGGAAAGGTCCAAATGATCCCCTGATTTATTTTAGGGACTTCTTTTTTTTTAAATTCTGATTTTAGGAAATGCTTAACTCAAGTATTCGTAGATTAAAATCTAAACCACAGAGATTATCCCTAAAATAAATGCTAGCTCTTAGCTTTCTAACAAAATCAAGTGCCATACCACGCAATCCACAAATTCGATCGAGAAATTTTGAGTGAAAAAAAAAAAAATGTATTTACCGCGTTTCGACCGACGTGGACGATTTCACAGACGGTCCTCTGATGTTGAGAACTGTTTAGTATCAGACTTGGCACATCATCACCTCAAGTGCAACAGATAAGAATGAAAGAAATAAAGACCGGAAAAAGCGGCTTCTGAAAAGAAACTGACCACAAAGACACAAAGTCTTTCGTTTTTTTTTATTGAAAACAATAGGGCTTGGTTATCCACCTTCATTCCTAATATGTTGCGGTTATTTCTTTTTGAACGCATGATTGATTGGAATAGAACCGAACGACATAGGAGAACGAGTTGTCCGTGGCACGACTGATTCCGGCCGGCGCTTGCATTCGTGTCGTGTTATTATCAACCCGAAAGAATCTTTCATCACTAATAGGTAGCAGTTTGATAAGTTTAAACGCCCGAGGCGATAATCAAAATATTTATCTTTCTGAAAGGTAAATTCTGGAATTGAAAAGACAGACAAGCCTTAAAATCACGTACGACTGTCCACTAACACTTTGCGCTCCAGACTAGGCAAAGTAGTTTCAAAAAGGTTAGATGCGATCTCCTTCCGTAAAATTGAGGAAACACAGAGTCACGATGCCAGGTTGCAGAATGGTTGGTCGAATAGGAGTGGCAAGAAGCGAAACACAATCATCTTTAACTTAAAAAATGAAAGTGATTGGTTCGTCTAAAGTTCCTCTTAAGTTCACTATTGACATATCAAGTGGTAACACTGATAAGTTATGCAAATACGTCTAAAGAAAACTGGAACGGAACTGCAATTAGCTTTAATGCCCCTTGACTGGGCTTTTTTTTAAATGATGTTTGGGCTGAGCAGTATTCATTGACATTTTTTAAAAGCATTAAGGCTTGATATATATGCATCCCCGGAAAAAGGTTTCAAATTGTCTAAACATGATAGCCTTTGTGCTCTATCATTCGTAATATAAATAGGTAAAAGCATATAAACACTTACGTTCTTGAAGGCCTGGTACAAGCTTGTACACAATTTCCTGCATTGTACGATCGGCGCTGCAAATATTAAAAATTTTCCTTTCATTTTCGATCTTGTGTAGGAAAAAAAATTAGGAGAAAACTTTTATCAGAAAATGTGACGTTTCATCTGTTGCTGATTCACAGTTATCTCAATCAGTGAAAAGCTTACACCGTACTAGTATTGCCAGACGTTGAGGCAACTCACTTGAAGAAATTAATTTGTTCAAGTATCGTAATACTCATTTCCATAGAAAGTCGTATATTTTTAATGTGTTTCCTTTTTAATTTTCGGAAAGCTTTGATGCATACGTGGCAGAATGTACAAGAAACAACTATCAATTCCCCCAGAGCTAAAAACGTCAAGGCTGATATTTCAGCACCAAGAGGATTGTTTCTCAAGCGAACAAGATACAGGACAATAAGAGAACTTAAAATTTGAAAATAAAATGAAAGATACACATGTTTAGCCCGTAGAACGAGATAACATTAATTCAACTAACACAGCAGCGGAGTGTACACGCGAGTTCAAGCGTAAATACTTCTTGTTTCGCAAATGGTTGCTAGGTATTTTTCAGAACACATTATATTAACTGTGCTGATGAAATGAATGTTGAGACACTGAGAAACCAAAGCAAAGCTAAAATTACTCTCCTACAACAGAGGCAAAAGAATACACTTGACAAGACAAAAAAAATCATTATCATGTCATCAGGGGACAATTCCATACTAAATTACTTGAAAATTCATTTACAATTATGGAATCGGTAAATGAAATGACTCGATCACGCATAGAATTTATTATTGAATTAGTCTCGTTGGAAGTTTCTTGTTGAAAAAAAATAAATCCGTCGAGCAGAATTGATCGTGCGGCAAATATAAATTCAGACGAAGGATATACTCAATCCAAGAAAGATTTGAGGAAGTTAATTAATTTTTGTCTGCAATGAATTTTGCATGTAATTTTGAGTTACTCGAGAAACCCTTACCAGTAGAAGCACGAAAAGGGTCTAAGCTTTTCGAGATTTTTACATCAATTCATCATTTTGCTTACCTGATATAGTTCATGGGGTAGCTTTGATGAATCACAATTTTGCAGGATGGACAAAAGTTTTCATCTTGTAAATGCTTTACGATGCAGCTTCTACAAACTGAAAACGATACAAAAACATAACCAATAAACACGACTCGGCTAAAATATAAACACAACAAATTTACAGTGAGGCGAGGGTAGAATTTAAATCTGATATCGGTCTCTTGTGGTGAGCACGGTAAAGATGCACTCTGTTCCAAGAGTGGGTAAGTATTAAAGCCCTCGTTAAAGAGGTCGCAGCAAACATAATTTAAATAAAGGTCCATTGTTTATTTTACCGCATCCTAGGTATACGAAGCGAAGCTTTTACACTGCTAATGATCTACTGAAATCTTCCACATAGCACGACCCACAACTGACTGAATTCTATAGACGGTGTCTCAGAGCTTCACCAACGCCTCGTTAAGGGGTGACATTTTACAGTGTAGCTTTTAACTTCAATCATATGACCTGCCCGAGAACACACAAATTTGAATGAGTACATCTGTTCTACGGCTGGCCCCGACAGGCGCTATAATCACGTCATCTGTTCGGGTAGATTGGTTTAGACAGTTGTTGGCACAGCCAAACGCAAGAACGTTTGACGCACCACTACATTGAATCCAGTCCACAATATTATAGATTGCCTTTCAAACAAAGAGAATCTAAACCATCACCACGAGTACACAATAAATTAACTACGACAAATGCCAAATTCACCGCGCAAGCGATGTGATATTAGGAAACAATAATCCCTGTGCTAATAGGCATTGCGATCGCAACCATCTAGACTGCGGTACACTAGCGTTATAATCTCAGTCGAGTCGTTTTGTTTCCGAGCAGCGAATCTTTGCTGTTCAGTTATAAGGCAAGCATATTTTGGGTTGATTTAAACATGGTATATTGTCTTCAAAAGCTTTTGTGTAGAAATCAAAAGCATTTAAACGCTAAACACGAACTTCACATGGTTTTACCGCCACGCTTCACGACCGATCTCGGTATGACCGCAGCTTTCTTTTGCTCGAAGCCATAGATCTACCTTCACTCCCTCCCTCGTTGCCGTCTGGTTGAAGTTTAAACAACCAAGAAGGTATAAACAACATAACTAAAGGACGTGACTCGATTTAAAAGGACAAGAAAATCACAAGTTGAGATCATGATATACTTACACGTGTGAAGGCACTCTGTGATGGTCGTAGCGTCGATTAGATACCCACTACAAATGCCGCAAGTAATGAAAGGATTTAGCTCTCTTAGCTTCACTGACTGATACATTTTGAAGCGATTAGAAGAGCAGTGGAAGCTAAAACGCTTCGGGCTTTCTAAATCTTGTCGTGGTAACACACTCGGTCGGTTATGCGAAACCACCAAGACTCACGAACGGCCCACTCTTTGCTCAATTTCGGCGAGATAATAGTGTTAATGAAGACTGATGTGGCAAATTTCTGTCAACACCTTAACTTCGGTCAAGATTTTTCAAAAACCCTTCCGTTGAGCCTCGCAACAACGGCCAGAGAGTCGCAAAACGTGACCAAAGCTCGGCGCAAGAGTTTCGAACGATACAATTAGACCACACGTACAAACAGAGCAATAAGCCTCAGGGCAGATTTGTTGTGAGCGGTGGGCGGTCAACATAAAAATTATCCGATCATCAACAATATTCCCGAACAAAGAGAGCAAGCAAGTCTCTGGGGACCTTCACTTCACGTTGATCTCTTGAAACGAAAAGCGACTTTTCCACGTTTTTGTGAACGTGGTCCGCCGCACGAAGAAAATTGCTTTTAGAGCCGCCAATACACACGATCGACAATTTCCCTTGGCTCTTCCTGTCGGATCAAACCTTCGTTTAAAGCGTGAAAAGAACCAAGGAAGCTGCGAGAGACTTGTGGTCTCTTATCTCCAAGGCAAGAATCCTAGGCCTCTCAATAATGAACCAGTTTTCAATGGAAGACAAACAATGATAATATCTTTAGTGTTACTGAATATGAATACCGCTGTGGCTGGTGGCTGGACGTAGAAATACCTAGCCAATCTTGAATAGGCCTATTTAGTCACGTTTCTCTCCTCGAGATGCGCGTTTGGCTGAAGTGTTTTTATGAGGCCCACGAGAATGTTCCCAGATACCGGAAACAGAGGATAGATGGCCTGTCAAAATTACTTCAATTGGCATGCATCAAATATCACAAGCTGACTGAAAGGATCGTAACACAACAGTACCAAAATGTGAAAGTACACTGCTACTGAGTACGAGCCTGCGAAAGTAAATGAATCTTATCACCTGTGACCCAACATTCAAGCATAGAAATAAAAGCCTCATGGATCAATAAGGATGTAAACTTTATAATTCCTTCCCGGAGTGAAATGCGACACTGGTTGGTATAGTGATCGATCCTATTCTGAACGATGTGGAAGTAACTCGAAAAGTTATTCCGCCATGATCTTATCTGCAGTGACTGTGGAATGTAAAATAAAGGAAACGAATTAGTTGTCTTCCGGTTGACAAGTACCAAGTAAATCTAAGTAAATCTGTCAATTTCAAGCTAGTTAATTACTTTAAATAGCACTAATTTTCCCAACATTCTGGAGCTCCACACATCTAACGTTTATTCCTCACGTGATATAGCCTTTTGGTAAGAAGGACCATCGAACATGAAAAGAAACCGACAATACAGAATGCTTCCGTTTTTTGAGTGATTTTCCTATCCAAAGCTCTTTACCCAATATAAGTTAAGTGCGTAACGTACTGAAGGTTTTACGATGCATTTAGCCGTCGCTAAGAAATAGCAAACTTCAACAAACACATTGACATTTTCCGATTTGGTATTGCGACCTTCTTCGGATTAATTTGCACCGCCGACATTTGTAATTAAATTCTGTTTACAACTTTGCCCTGAAACGTCAGTTAGGTTCACTCAGATTATATCTCCATTATTATGTTTCGACTTTGCTTAATATATGACACACAATTGAAAACGCACATGTTACCAGAAGTATCTATGTAAAGCTGTTCAGCAGGTAGTTGTCTGTGGGTTGACAATGAAACTTGAAGAAACTGACTTTACTAGGACAGCGCTCGGACGCAGAGAACTTTATTCGTCGTGTTCACTTGTCTACTATTTCCATATTAAATATACTGGAATTTCTGCTTAATTGAGAGGCAATCAAATAAAACAGTGTTACAAATATCTGTCTAATACTAACAAGATATATACTGTGTATGTTTTCGGGTTATCGGTTGATGATCTCAAAACGAGCAATAAAAAGAGTCGTAAATTATTGGTAGACGTAACAATATCACGATGATAAATTAATCTTAAAAAAAGAACTTCTGTAGATATAACAATATGCAGGTTTATGATGTTAATTCCTGTTCAATCAAAAAGCTAACGGTATAATCAGAGACTTGTAGCTGTTTACTAGGATGCATGTTGACCTAATCGTTAGCGATTTTTCAATTGAAAGAGGGTATTTTATAAAATATGGTCTTTAAATAAAAATCTAAAGGATGGATGTTTATTGCAAAGTAAACTGTGGGCCCTCATACTCTCTTCAACTGTTCCGATTACCATAGAGTACCATGGATTCGAATTTCAAATTCAGTGCATTGTTCGGTCAACACGACCCTTTAAATCCTAAGATCTGATTGGTAACCCTTTAACTCCCATGAGTGACCATGACGCAATTTCTCCCTACAATATCAACACAATATCAGACGGATAAGTGATGAGAATAAAGAAAAATATCATTTTGGAGATAATTAGTTGATCCAATACTAAATTCTCTGCACTAACATCATAACAATCGTATGGTTGACAGTAAGTAGAATGACAAATTTGATCTGGGATTCAAAGGGTTAATTCTCTCCTCTAGCTGGTAAGCGTTAGTTGCGAGTTAGTTAGATGGATCAAGAGAATGGTCAATGAGAGTCCTCGACTAATCATCTTTGCTTTACAACCATAGGTGGTTGAATTTTTCCTTTTTTTGTTCTAAATTCATCAGACACCTGATTATTTAGTCTCACCAATCTATTAACCCAACTGACCGATGTGGATGCCTTTTATGTCTGGTTCTTTATGAAGACCCCAGACGAATGGAAAAAAAATTGAGGAATCTGTTCTATTCGCAGACGCTGTGTGCGACACAAAGCTAACTACAGTAACTGGTTTACTTTCGGCGAACTAATGGGAATTATTGGATTAAATTTTCATTTCAATCCTTTACTGTCGGCAACTTGCCTAAAAGATAAAAAAGATTCGGCAACGTTTCGCATGAGAAATTGTGATTGCTTGCGGTATATCTAGATCACTGTTTACTCTGTGGGTATTCAGCTCTGCTGGCGCTGTCTAAATAAGAACCTCTTTCTGTGACTATCAGTTGCTAAAACTGGCTCCAAAGAGAGATAGTTCTCTCAAAGGGAAAGGTTATCAAATACTCTGTAGAATTAGCACTGATTCTGTTCATAACTACTTGCCAAGTTTAATGCGATCGGTGTCATATGTGTTCTAACTGAATCTAGCAGCTCTTAGCAATTAGCTAACGAATTGGATTATAAAATATCTCAACAAAGTGTACAGCCTGATGATATCGCTGGAATCAGTGTTATGGTCTCGGAGATTATGGTGCTTCGGGAAACCAATAAACCTTTTGACACACCCTTTCCCTCTTCATATAGATCAACAGGCAGGGTAAGGTTGTTTTTATCTCACAATGACTGCCTTGTTTCAACTGAACGCCTTTAAATCCTGCTCTTAACTCTCAAGAAGACTAAAATAACAATCCGTTTAAAGAGAAATTGGATGAAGCAACAAGACACCTTACAAAAAGTCAATAATTTCTCAATCAGTGTTCAACAAGAGCAGAAATTGGTTTTAATGGAACTGTCGGCTTATTATTCATTGGCAGTTTTCGGCGTCTCAACACATGTGTTTACGAGAGTTATTACACAAATTGCGTGGACGTTTCCACGTGCGTAGCCAGACAAAAAGTCTGTCGTAGTTGACGTCTAAAGTTAATCCATGAATTAACGTGAAAGACATTTGCCCGACGTTTGCGAACTTTTAGGTGTTTAATTACGCGGTTCATTGAGCGAACTAAGTAAAGCAGTGCGTGGGCAGCAACAGACAGCCTTAAAAAAACTGATGCATATGGAAATTGCACTTGTCACTTGTAGTATTGTATTTGACTAAGGTAAGCAAACACATTTGAAAAAAGTGTTTACTCTTTAAATCAGGCAAGGAAGGAAATAAATAAAACATACTTAGGTGATTTACTTTGGCGTTTTTATGCCAGTTTTAGCAAAGGATGTGTGACCTCTGAAGTAGATTGTCACAGCCTTGACTTATTGAGACTCGAGAGATTAGAATACTGCATTATGGCCGCTAATCTGTCTTGATCTCAAAATAATGGAAACGTTGCAATTATCTCTTTTATTACTCCCTCAGGCGAATAATTTTTTCAGGGCTGCTGGTGATATTAGAATTATTCGAGTTGTTTCGTAGTTTTTCCAATTTGATCTCCATATCATTTACCTAGCTTGACGCATTTTTTTTTCCATCATATGTGTGAAGTGATTATCATCAGAAAGCATTCTTTGTAAGCAGTGGTTCACCTACAGCTTGGCTAACGATGACCTATGATAAGTCGTTCACAGCTCAGTGAAATTTACTTTTGTTTTGGTGGTTCCAGAGAGTCATAACTAAATTCACCTTTGAGATTCTCGTATAAATGAGTTTTATGGTAATTTTTTCCAAACCAGCTTATCACGGTCGTCCAAAACCTCGCGTGTCCACCTGTTAGTCTGTATTGTTTCAATTCATCATAGTACCAAAAACACTGTGACCCTAAGCTCAGGAAGATAGATACCCGCATAAGTCTTGTGGATAATTTCTATAGAAAAAGGAGCGCCATGCATGGTTATTAATATGAATAAACCACTTGCTTTTCATTTTTCAGTCCTCCGTGAATTATTCCGACATTACTGTTTAAGCCAATTTGCTGAGGTGTACATGTATGGCGAGACTTTTGTTAGGAAGAATTAATCGTTCGTAGCTCATTTTAACTTTAAATTGCGCGCTTTTGTAAGTTGATCTTAGTTACCTTACGTCCTCAAACGAACAGTGTCTACCAAAATCATCAGATCCCCATTTTGTAGAGCGTTCTCGGGAAAGCTCTGATAACGCAGTTGAATCACTGAGAATTTCAAAATGGCAAAGTACGTAAAAGCAACAAAGAAAGAGTAGAGGTCACATATAACTTTCGTGATCCTCTAGTATCTCCCTGATTTAAATACTTAATCATTCCCCCACTGTTCTGGACTGGTTTTGGTCAGTTTATGTTCAGAACTTCAACCAGATAACTTCAGATTTGTCACCTTTTCATGTCTTTCTTAAAACAACAATTTTGTTGTCGTTGTCGCTGGTTTGCTTGTTTCTTAAACCCTCTTATTTAGCCAAGTCACAAAAGTTCCAAGTGCTAAGGACCTTTCGTAGAGACACTTGTATTTAGTTTAAGCAAACTTCGATTACCGTATAAAGGAATTATTCCAGCGATTAATCTTGTTAACATAGCATTACTCTTTAAGATTGTCCAGTGTTCTTGCAATCGAATCCAAGTTGTGTTGACTTCGAAGTTTATTTCAGACTCGGGCGGTTGCCGAGAGAAAAGGCTGAGCGGTTGGCCCTTCTTATTGAAATTGTCGAAGAAAAATATCCACAAGGTTTGAAGCATGTGCAATGATAATCATCCCTCTGATCAGTCATCCAGGTTTGATGTTTGAACTGCCTTTGGTAGATTACTGTTGCCTTGTTGCGTCCGCCATCGCCGTGTAATTTACTAGCTGTCGAGCGGAAAACATGTTTTGCATTTTGGCTTCGGGAAAAAGGAATAGCGATTCGTCATCGCAAAACAGGAAAATCCATCTGTTTGACTTTAAAAAAAGTCTCTTTTAGTCAAATAAGAATATAGACTCCTAGGAGAAGAGACTGTTCAGAGGAAAGTTGCTGACGCTGAAAATAAAACGATAATCAAAATTGATTACGTGGTTGTCTCTTAGCGGCATTTTAAGACATAAATCAATTTTTTTTTTCTATCAGACAATACCTGTCACGGGTTGCCATCTTAATGACAACCTTTCATCTGTTTTGAGAACCAAGAAAGTGACTTCCTAGGTAATAAAGGAGGCAGCTGATTAAACCAAAAGATACAATGTTTATGCGCTTTCACTTCGAACAAGCCTCTTCACTCAATCCGCAAAAGCGAAGACACAAATTTGACTCGGCTCATATGAATTAAACTCTTTGCCCCTTAGGTCCTCAGTCATTCTAAATTGCGGTCGTTCATTTATAATTTATCACCAGCCACAAGAAATGTAGTCTAATCTTGACTAATCGACCACAAAAATCCACTCAAATGATTCTGAAAAACTATAAAAAAAAAACAAAAACAATTATGCCCGTCGTGTCACACAATGAGGGAATGTTGACGAATACAACTAGGGAAATTTTGTACCGTGTTAATGAAATCTATTTGAACGCATTCTCACCTTGATCGTCCATTTTCTCCATGGTTACAAATGGTATATAAATTCATAATACGCCATATTACACCCGTGGTTTCCTTTCTTTGATAATATTTTCATAACAAAGACAAGTCTTAGCATGCTGTTGTTTTAATGTCGAGTGTTTGAATTACAACTGCTGGACTACTCAAACAAAGGCGAAAAAAGGGCACCGACTTACTGACAATTTACTCACTCACAAAAATGAATCACTTTTCATGTATTTTCACGTTTTACGATGATTATAGAAGTCGCCCAGTATAATCAAAACTAATGAGATACTCCAACAGGAGTGAGACGAGATACAATGGCATAAAACACTATAATTTGTTTCACACAGACGACGTGATTCAAATTCAATAACTTCCTGTATTACCATCCTTAAAAGGGAGAGCTTGAAACTGAGGTCTGAGATACATTCTTCGTTCAACTTACATTTATTCTTAAGGCCAAACAGTTACAGACTTCTTGCTGGAGGTTTTTGTTCTCGTTATCTTGAAGAGAGGACTTTACTTTGTTTAATAGAATTTCCTACGCACACTTCAGCCCTCGTCTGTACTATTGAAAAATGGCGAACCGGGTTTTCGATCTTTATTTGAAGACAACGATTGACATCTCCTCATCTGGATTCAATGGATACCAACACAATTTGTATGATTGTATATAAATTTTGTAAATACAGTGTTGCATTTTGAGTTGATATTCTTCCGCTCAATCTTCAAGTTTACGCGTGAGAATTGGGGAATGTTTAGATAAGGTATGATAAACCGCTTTATGGAAACACCATATGTCAAGTTTGACAGAATCTACTCGTGCCATTTTTGCTCTTACATAACTGAGACAAATCAAAGCCGGGGTATATGTTAATTTTGCAACATGTTTCTCTACAGGGTGGTCGGCTCTTCAGTGCTCACAGCACGCGAACTGTGGACGGCTCAGAATTGAAAAAGAATGATATTTGTTAGACCGGCTTTGTAAAGATAATTTACCGGAGGCGATTTACGTTAATGAGGAGCTTCCTACCAGGCAAAGGAAACACATTTAAGCGAATAAACACTCGACTTCTCATCCGGGATTTTCTAACAAAGGAAACCGCAATCCACAGAGCGTGATAAAAGATTTGTCAATATCTGTTCATCGTGGTGGGCCTGAATCTCTTCGCTCTGAAATGGCAATTCTTCGGGTAAGTATTCCCTGAGACTGTCTCGATTTCACTCAAAGCAAGGATACTTGCTTGAAGAACATTCAACGAAGGCTTATCTGCCGTGTAACATAACTTATCGGCGTGTGAAAACCAGCCAATTCAGACCTTTCCGAGTAAGACGATTGACTGCCCGGATTCAACCGTTGGTCTGATCCGGCGGACTTCTTGTTTAGTCATGCGTTGAATGAACTAGATCAGGGGCAACCTCATAAATAGCATTTATCAATTTGATTGAACTAGGGCGAGTTCTGAATTGCAAGCAAAAACAATCACATCAAGTGTTCTGTTCAGTATCGAGTTCAGATCCAAGGTAGGATGACATCTGTACGGAAAGGAGAAATCCTCTTTAACACAAGGAGCAGATAACTTGATGTGACATGGCAAGGCGAGCTGTACCGATATTTAACACCAATGATCTTCATTTCTTGTCATTTATAGGCCCTCTAAAATAAGAACTGCAGTATTAGAACGGAGAAAACCATTTAAACTTATTAGCCATTTGAAAGAATCGCTTAACTGCCAGTTGCACTGTTGACACAAATTCAGATGAACTTACGGCGGGCGTGAGGTTTTTGTTTGAATCTCGGCACCCCTCACTTTCAAAGATCATTGGTGATGACGAGAAGAGGTTTTAACACTTTTTAATCAATCATTGGAAAGCTATTGAGATAGGAGCGCACGGGATCCAAATGGACAGTAATCTCGGTGAGGGCTTTCCTATTAGACTACCACTGTTCTTTGCTAAACAACTTGTTTCTCTTGTTAGTCCAACAAGGAGCAGAGGATCAAGATTGCAGAGTTGAACCCGTTCATAACGTGTGAACTATGCAAGGGATATTTGATCAAGCCAACAACCATTGCCGAGTGTTTACACACATGTAGGTAGAAACAGTAGTAGGGATGTGTGTATGACTACTTTTTTAAAATCCTCACATGTCGACAGGATCTTTCAATGGTCGCCCTTGGGCGTTGAAAGATCCAGGGATTACAGCTCTGGAAACTGGTCAGGATCGCAATTCCGTTCTGCTGTTATGCCCCAAGGCCGGCCAGATGTTCATTTATTATGCACGCTCGTCAAACTCTATTTATTTTGTTATTAGTTTAACTCAGTGACGCCAAGCATTTAGACGCTTATAAATAACACGCTGTCATTCTGCGTGGCACGCGCGTAGACAATGCGAAGAGGCTTTTGTCTTCTATTCTTCGCACAATCTCGTCCTCGGGAGAGAGTCTGCGAGCCAAAGATTGAAAAATTAGTCTTTCACACTGGCCAATTATCGAATAGCCCGATTTATTCACGAAATAAGCCAACCGGTTGACAGGTCCCAAGCGATTTCTTTCGCACTTCACAGAGCGTGATTAAATTTAATTACTTTCAACTAAAGAACATTTACTTTAAAGAGGTAGCTTCGTTTTGCATACTAAGCACGTTAAATATTATTTCGGTAGTATTCTCCTCGAAAACCTTTTGCGCACTTTTTTTTTCAGCGGGAAATCCCAAGATTTGTGGTTTATTTGTGGCTAAACTCGCGGTATTATTAATTTTCGTCGCCATTTGAAACGGGAAGACTCCCTGCTGGGATAAAATTGTACAATATTAATGAGACCCCTGCGGTTTTGTATTTGTTTGTACAAATAATCTTGAATTTTAAGTTATGAAATCCTTGTTTCACCGTAAAGCGAAATCGGCGGCCACTAGGAACACCGTAAACGTTTTCTTTCTTGCCAGTGGTATTGACAAAGGCGCAGAGTGATTTCAAGTTATCCACGAGAGATTAATTTCATTCATATGTGAAGTGCACTCCACAAGTCACAACAGGAAGGCCTAATGTCGTCTTTCAAGGCTGAACAATGCGATAACAAAGTGCGATAACGTTATCATTAATGTAAACATCGTGTATTCACTAGATTAAGGCTAGGACTGGCTTGCTGTTGCATAAAATCAATACAGTTTCAAAAGACTTCGTTTCGAGCTAACTTAGAAACAATTTTAGGCATTTTCAAGGTCAACCTTTAAACATGAGGTAGATTACGTACCCTGCAAAAATGATAATTCGTTCCGTTGCTCAGATGCTTCAGTTTTTAAGTGATCTCAGGCCAAATCTTTAAGAAATTAATTCCTCGACTGTCAAAAATTGTAACCTTTCCGGTGCGCTCAATTGTATAAACAGACTTTACGTTTCCCGGAAATTATTTAGATGGTCTTCGTTTGAGGGTAGAAATTCAGCCCAAACAAGAGGAAAACGTTACGTCTTTCTGTTATTGAATTTCTCCGTGGGGGAGACAGGTCAAGCGGAGGCATGTCGACTGGCTTAACAATTCTTTATCTCCTCAAAACGAAATCCTTTCATTAGATTATGACCCTGGTGTTAAGCCATCAATAATAAGGGAGTGCATCATATTTAACCCTTTAACTCCCACAATTCTCCTTACAGTCAACCATACAATTCTTATAATGTTAATTCAAAGAATTTAGTATTGGATCAACTAATTATCCCCAAATTGATGTTTTTCTCTATTCTCATCACTTACCTGGTTAATATTGTATTGATATTGTAAGGAGAAATTCAGTCTTGGTCACTCATGGGAGTTAAAGGGTTAAAGGCAAAACTGCTGAATAACTCTGAAACTGATGAAGAAAAAGGGGCACCTTCACTGCAATAGAAAACATCACAGCGCACATTGTTTTTGGCGGAGCAATTAAAACTTAATAAGAAATAATTACTTAAAACATTTTACCTACTATTATCACACGTGAGAGAAGAGAGAAGAAACTACGCTGTACTGGAGTGAAATTTCGTTTTTTTCTGTACGGATCCAAATTAAAAACTATGCTTTTTTCAATGAAATATCATCATAACTCATCGTTAAAAGACCTCATGAAGAGAATGAATACCATTTTAATTGCCTTTCTCTATTTGACGACTTGATTGATAAAATAAATAATCTTATTGTGTCTCGTTTTTATCAGATATTACAAAAGTTTATAGTACGTAGCGGTGAGGGATCTTTTGTTTCCAAACAAACTGGAGAATGTAAAACAAAAAGGAAACAAAGCGGAAACGTGCGCGCCTCTATAAGGGTGAAATCGAGGCAACAGAAAGAAACATCAACCATGTCTGCAAGATTTCTGTTTCTCTGGCGCTGTTAGAGAAACGCAATTGTTAGAGTCAAGAGTTTTCAAGTCAAACAGATTACAAGAATGTTTAAACCATCACGCACTACACCGCTGTTCAGCAAATAAATGATGAGTTTTAACAAGAGAGGATACTTTATATTCTCCTAGTTTTACTCAGTGCATTTATCCGCGAATAAGGTTGAAAATGAGTGAATAACCTCGTACTATTTTTTCAGCGAATGACTTAAATTTGACGATGAAAAATGAAATATAAAAGATCTTCCTTTGTCAGCAGTCTTCCTGAATGTACAGTTTCTGTTTCTCAAGTAAATTTACTCGGGTGTTTTTAAACTCATTCATATATATTTAGCCGACGCTTTCGAAAGTGTCATCGGATTTAGTGCCCTTTTCTGAGAATATGTGGATAATATTTCGACGAGCTTCATCTGGTGTTTGCTCTAGCAGTTTCTAATCCTCTTAAGAGGGATTTGTCCCATTTTCTGTGGTAGCAGCAGGTGTAGTCTTAAATAAGGGTGCGGAATAAATTTGGTGAAAAATTGCCAATTTATGTTTGTTCTCAAGTATTTTGTTATCAAAAGTCCTGGATAAGGATGTGGGATTATGAATTATCCTGTCTTCAATTTTTTTCTTTCTTCTTTTCCGACCCATAATGATTTCCAGTGCTCGTGTTACAACTGTAATCAAAGATTTTCGATTGCCTTCGGGGCTTTCGGTCCGAGACCTCATTACCTCTAAAAAACACGATAGCGTGCGATGAAAACTGGATAAAGATTCACTCGAAATTCCAAACAACACATGTTTTAAAAATTTTGGTCGTCCGCTGGCGTCAATTACTTGTTGTAGAACGTCCATGCGCCAAATATGAAAGCGAAAATGAAAACATTACTTTGGGACGGAAAACAAAAAAGAGGAAGAGAAGTTGCGTCTTGTTATTTACGACATTCAGCTTAATTTCTGAGGCATTTTGGTATCTTTGAAAGACAATATAGTATTTTGATTTTCCTCTTCCTTGGAAATTTGCGCTTTCATTTCCCTTTATTGCTGGGAAGGGGGGTGTGGGGTGGGCAAGTGACTGATCTCCTCGCCTTTCCTTCGTTGGAGGGAGTAACATACCCAACAGTGAAATAACACAATCAAAAGGGATGTGAAGATTGACTCTCTCAGTCTTTTGTGTGAGACCAATCGGGAAAAAACAATAAAGGTTTCGATTAAAGATTTGAAAGGCTGACCCTTTGATTTGAAAGGCTGACCGTTTGAGGTCTGTGACGGAACTTACTGGAAAATCATACTTAACAACTGAGCTGCAGGGAACTCATGGCAACCTTAGGACAACAGCAAAGGACAGGAAGCCCGTTAATTATATTAAAGTGTTTATTAAATGTACATTGGAGTATTCATGACCCACCATCGAAAAAGCTTTGCTCTTTGATGTTGTACCATTCTAATTTACAAACTGTTCTAAGGAACGGCTCAGTAACTGCTAAACTTTACTTTTTCCAGGGAGTCGTCTGATTTCAGAGACTAGATATAATTTTTTTCCGAGAAAACAGTTAATTTCTCCTAGTTGTGTTACATAATACTTTCATAATCCTTTGGGGGAGTTTCCGCCCATCACATGCGTTTCCGCTAACACTGATGTGGGAAACATTTTTTTTCTAGGAAAGCAATAATTACTTCATTAAATATATATAACGGAATTCGAGGAATTGCTAGAACCTCACTACTAGGTTTGAACCATGTTTTCCAAGAAAAATATTTTTTGGTAATAAACTCCTCAGTGCCTGTAGCTATTAGAACTCGTAAAACAGAAACTATCCACAATGATGCCATATATTCTGCTGTTGATTCCTTTTCTATAATCGCTGATCCTGGTGACTATCTTTATAGTCAACCCAAACCATCAAAAGCGATGACTATACAACTCCCCCCTTCAATTTACAAATACATCAGTACTGGCAACATCTGGTCTTCTCCTGAGAGAATACGTTGTTGTCTCAACTTCATTAAAGCCTTACAAATTTTAACCTACTCTCCTTCTCCGAAAAAGGAGGATGTTTTCTTTCTTTTCTTTTGATACCCGTCTAGCGTCTTACCCGCTACGGTAGGGTACCAGGGTAATCTCAATTTTACTTCGGGCAAGGGTCTACGGCTACACCTAGGCAGGCCGCATTTTCTTTGTTCACTCAGACATATGCACGATCTACAGTCTTTGATTATGTTGTTCTGTCTTGTCAGTCTGCAGAAGTTGCATTGTGCAGAATCTTCAAGACAACGAGGAAAATATCTGCCCGAAGTGTTCCACGGTTATTCATGAAACCAACCCATTTGAGATGCTAAGGTAGGACAGTATTTGTACAAACCGGTGATGTACTTTCCCACAGGAACTTTAAAAATATTCGGCTAGACCTTGATTTTATTAGTTATAGTGTTATTGCCCCAACCCACACTAGGAATAACTAGCTGTTTCCACTTTTGATCGTGATTAACCAGGCGTAGCAACAGGCGTAAATTGGGTGACGAGGGAAACTCCCACTGTTTCCATTATTTACTCCTTTCTCATTTGCACTCCCCTCCTTCGCTTTCCATGCAGGGAAAGTACCAGGAAGTAGACGTATTGGTTTATCCGCCTAACTCGCGTATAGGAAATTAATTTGACAAGTAGTGCACACGAGCTCAGCTGTCTCTTGATTCTCTTTGGCTCTGTAATATTTGGACAATAAAAAGTAAAAAACTTTGGATTACTACTCTCCTTGCTCTAGTTTTCAGTTGAATTCTACCTGTGGTGTGTGAAAGTACATCGAACTCTTTTGCACCAGCGGGTATGGTTTCAGCTGAGAATAAATTGGAGAACTGAAACAAATCTAATTCAGTACGCCGTTCTCAACTGACGTAACTTGTAAATGAGGAAAATACGAGAACGGCCAAAAACAGCTCGATCTAGAAAATTCCATTCTTATTTTCATCCTTACATGGGCAAAATCACCCTTATGAAGCGTCGATTTAAATAACACCTAATCAGCTTTCGTCTGAGTAGTTAATCCACACCCTTGCTGTACAACTGAAAATTCAAATCGACCTATTGAGCGTTGAAGCGTGACCGCCTGTCAGCACTTTTCACCTGCGATAGGAGCGTTCAGTGTGCAAACATGCCACAGCTTTAGCCATGTAACACAGCTTTGTTTGAAACAGAATTTGGACAGTCTAATACGAAATAGCATGGGCGAGAGAAACGGTTATTAGGGCCTCTTTTAGTATTAGTCAAGAGTAGATTTACTGATTAGATAGCTGACCTTGAAACCTAACAGGCTGGAAACCTAGGTAAAATCATCTTTCTTTATACATCATCATTCTCAGTAAATCTGCTTAAATTTGGACATCTATTACATGCCTCCCCCTATAAAGTGCGTATTTTAGCATATAAATAGTTACAGCAAATTTTTTTTGCGGAAGTCGTTTAATTGCCTGCCCTCAAGAAAGTTCCTTTTTGTGACGGAGATCGTATTGTGTGCGAAACTAGTTTTTACCTCTCTGCCTTTGTGTGGGTTTCAATCAAAGGATATCCGTTGGTTATGGGTTTTCCTGGTCAGACAGAATTTGAATGAAAGCATCACTAATTTGTGCCTTGTTTATTTGTCTTGATCCCAACCGTCTTCAAAGCTTTTTCACGCTCACGGAGAATTTTATCAGGTGTATCAGCCAAAAAGGAAGAAGATTGTGAGCAAAATATATCATACCGACTTTCAACGTGGAAATAAACATAATATCGTTCCACATATAAATACATTAATAATTTACTCTAATCTGGGAAACTTCTTTCTTCCAACAAAATTATTCGAAGTCTTCTCAGCCCAGTAAAATGTTTTGGGAAAATGTCGTGGCTAGGGTTAGCCTAACCTAAGCTGAGCTTCGTCTCAAGATACCTGCTCGCGTTGTTCAACTCATCCTGGCGATCGAGATTTTGGGGCTGAGCTCTTTTTCTTCGTATGTTTTTATTTGAGCTCACTTTGAGATATTTACTCAGAACATATTCTCAAATTTCTTCTCTTTTTATGCAGATCAGACCAAATGTTAGAAGATATTATCTTCAAATTGGTGCCAGGACTACAAGAAAGTAAGGAATTATGTAAATTTGTGCGTTTTATATCCTTCGACACTTCATTTTCTTCCTGCTATCAGCTCCCCTTTCCCTTCTACTTCTCCACTTTCTACTTTTTCCCGCGCTTTTTTATCTCTTTACGCAACGTGCATCATGGAAAAGCAAGTATTTTTCATTCCACCAGCGCATGGTTTCTTCCAAACCTCTGAATTTCTCAGAAATGTACCTTTGTTTTCATCGAAATTATCGCAGTTTCAAGGCTAGGTTTCTAATGTTTTTCCTTGTGGGAAGTTTTGGTATCGTTACATAATAACGAAACTATTCCTCGACACGAAACGTCTTCTCACCATCAGCGTTCTCAGTTTTCAATCGAATAAAACCCCAGATTTTAAGTTGCTTTGCAGTTTCGATCAAACGATCGAATTTCAGAATTTTTTAGCGTTAACACAACAGCTTCATAGGTGTTCCTTGTTCTTCCCGTTTCTTAGCAACCCTACAAAGGAAGTGAGCAGTTTCGTTTTCCCTTTCAGCGAGGATCACGAAAACAGGAGCTTCTCGGGTCCTTATTTGCATTGAAGCTGTTTATTGTGACGCTTGCATTGTTTACTTAAAAATAGAAACGACTTCCCCTGTTATTATTTTAAACGGTTGAGTGGTCAAGCAAATTTGTGATTCCGCCTACAGACTGATTGGGATGGCGTGACATTATGAATCATATCCTGTTACTATGTTTGCTGGTGACTGTTGAAAGCGTCCCCTTCACTTTCTAAAACAGTTTCGCGGAATCGTCGCCACAGCTTTTCGAAAACCTCCCGCTTTCGCATTTCCAAGAGCGTGAAGATCGATTTCTAAGAAAGGCAATTATCACAACCTAGTCGTTGTGAAACAGAAGTATTGGGAAACTGAATGTTACTTTGCTGGATTTTCTCGACAACATATCGAACATTTTACCTTTTGAAATCAACCAAAAACAAACCAGCTGTATTATTGCTGAAGCTGTTGTTTTGATTTGCATAATTGCAAGATTGAACTTGAAAACACCGGAAGACGTTTGGATTCGACATCGGGGAAACCCCCCTTTGCGTCCGTTCGCCTGATTGGCTGATATAAATAGGCAGAAAACTTCCTTATTTTCCCTCTTAGCCAAACTCAAATTTCACTTCGATTTATAAAAGGAAGACGTAAGACTCCGATGCATTCGAAGAGTAAATCGCGCATGAAATAACTTATCCGCAAAGGTTTCAATCCACCTTCAGTTACGATGGATAAGCACGAGCCTATCGAATTTGTCGTACTTCAGGAAAAGATTCCGCTTGTGAAGGAGAATATCAAAAAAATACGGTCACTTTTCAACGTCGATGTCACGCTCAAAGCGAACGATCAGAAGAGTGGACAACGATGGATTTGCCTTCAAGGAAACGACGCAGAACTTCAGAGGAAGGCACAGACCTACATTAAATCTCTATGTGGCACTAGTCAGCACGCTATAGAAGCGCCCATCGGCCTGTGTGAAAAGCTAAGGAAAGGGAATTTGGGTATGGAGGTTGAAAAGCTCACAGGCGCAGTACTGTCGTTTAATGACACAACGGTGTACGTCCAAAGTGATGATAGTTTAGTCACAGTCTTGGCAGTCTCTGAAATTGAGCGACATATCGCGAATTTCAAGAAAGAAGCTAAAATTGGCGTCGCTTCGAGAAAATGTGACCCTGCCGCTGTACCGGATTCCGCCGTGAACATTCCAGAACGTTCTACGTCAGTTGCAACAGATATTCCGCCTTCCATGAGGGAATTCGCCTATAAACTGAACTACACAGACAAAGAAATCGACGCAGTCATAAAAACATTCGGAACAGAGATCAATATTAATCAACTGTTACAGGAACTTGTTAAGAACACGGCGTCTGCGCAGCAGCTTGGCACCGCTCCAGAGGACACGACTTCGCTTCCTGGTTCTGTTCGAGGAAATTGTGTGGCGCCACCTCTGCAACCGACAGAAATGCGTCGTAATCTGCTCGCTAGAGGCCCTCCCGCTACTCCCCCTAGAAGACCAGAGTATCATTACGTTTCAGAAAAAACTAGGCTGGTCCCCTCTGATAATTTGCGGCCCATCGTGATTGATGGCAGCAATGTGGCAATGAGTCATGGCAACCAAAGAGTGTTCTCGTGTCGAGGGATACAAATTTGCGTGGAATACTTTCAGCGGAGAGGACATAAAGACATTACTGTGTTTGTACCCATGTGGAGAACAGAAGAATGTAGCCAAGACAGTCCGATCATGAACCAGGAAGTACTGCACATTTTATTTAGCCAAGAAATTTTGAAGCTTACTCCATCAAGGTCAAATGGTAACCGTCGCATCGTGTGTTACGATGACAAGTATACGGTAGATTTGGCGGACCAAAATGGGGGAATAATTGTTTCCAATGACAATTTCAGAGACCTCCTTGAAGAAAACCCAAGATGGAAAGAGACAATTGAACAGCGCACTCTGATGTACACCTTTGTGGGGGATCGCTTTATGCCTCCCGACGACCCTCTGGGAAGGAGAGGGCCCTCGCTGAATGATTTTCTTAGAAGAGGGTCTGCTACTCACCCCAAAATATGCCCGTACCTAAAGAACTGCACTTTTGGCAATCGTTGCAAATACTACCACCCTGAAAGGGACACACAGCGGCAACATGGGGGAGCTTCTATCAAAATCTCCTCCGAGATAACTGAACACCAAACGAACGGTACAGGGGAACTTAATATGACAACTCAATCCCCGATTACTTTGTCTACACAGCGTTGCAACAGGAACACTTTGGTATTAGAATCAAGAGGTAGTTTCCAGTCCCAAGTTGACAATCATCCAGGTCGTCCCAATGACACTTTGTCTCGTGGCATTTCAGCCCGCGGTGTACCTTCGCATAAGAATTCCTACATTAATAGTCGCGAGGGACCCTTATACCCCCGCGGGTTTTACGGTGGACATGTTTACGCGGACCATCATCATCCGGTAATTCCTGACTATGCGCCTCCCATGTATCCTCCCGATATGAACCAATTTCCACCGCTCGCAGCACCATGGCCTTCATCCCCGTATAGTACTCCTGCACAGTATGCACCGTCACCGCCAATGGGATATCCACAAGGGAATCCAACGTACTGTTATTTCGAGCCTCGTCCGCCCCCGCAAGAAAATTTTCAGGGACAAAGGCATTCTGGGGATCAGGTTGACGGCAACAAAGAAAACAAATCCCTCAGCAAAGAGGAAATAGAAAGGCTTAGGGCCATCTGTGACGATGAAAATAAATTAGAACGCATTCTGCGCGATAACCCTCGAGAGCGGGATATTAACAAATTAGCCCATCTTTTATTGGAGAACTAAAATCTCTAAGTGAATTCAAATATTATAGACTCGAGTGTCTTTTAAATTAATACATATATCAATGACTGTTTAATATTTTTGAGTATCGCTTCGAATATTGCGAGATGTAAAAAAGCTCTACAATACTCAACAAATTTTAACAGATTTACCCCATGTATATATTCTCATCCTTTCACCTCTTTGATTCCTTTGTAATGTGCATAATCTCTTTTCAAACTGTATCATAACTCTACAATAATAAAAACCTTATGAAGAGTCTTATTTGATTGCACAATATACTCTTTTGTTACCGTACTCTTTTCATTATTTCTTCCACTTTGGGAGAACTGTGGTTAATTTTGAGATGTTGTAGTTAGGATGGTTTGTCAATACAACGGTCATTTTATCCCAGAATGTTTCAACAACCACATCGGAAACATTATAAATTTTTTTCCTCGTCTTCTGGTTCTTGAAAAATGCGTGTTAGCTCGCATGTCCTAATTACTTTGACGTCAATCTGACTTCAAGCCTTTTCAAATTGTTCCGGTTAGGAAATTGAAAGAATTCTGCTCTCTTGTTTGCGAAATCTTTGTTATATCAACGTATCTCGTGTAGCATAGTACTTAGTTTTTGCGTGCTTTCGGTTAAGAGATCCGTATTCTTCAAGAAACGCAAAACGCGGTCAATAAAACAATATCTTCAGTCTGACGAGTAGTTGAATCCAAAGAGTCCCACTTCCGCTTTCGATTTTGAAATTGAATCGTCCGGCTTTACGTGTTAAGGAACTACGCAGTTAAGTTGTTCTCAAAGAAAAAAATGTGCCACTTGCTTGGCTCGAGGAAGATATTTTTAGGAAATCAGAAACTCGCTATTGAATTTAAGCCCTTGTCACATTTAACCGACAGACATCCAGCTAAGCTGTGATGGGTATCCTGTATCCTCGTGATATTTATGCTTGCTCAGCAGTCAGTTGGATTGACACAACTGCAGCTTCCTTCCTCGAGCGGAATCTATTCTTATTGCATTGGAAGAAAAGGTCCAAGGACGCCTAGTTGTAACCCGATATCTTTTTTTCCGATTAACCTCAAAACTCGGTTACTTGTCGTATTAATTAGTGGTTTTTACTCTTTGCGTTGTGCATTTTATTATTCTTCACAGGCTGAATATCTTGACCCTAGACGAAGATTTTATATCACCTCAATATATCCCCTCAGCGCTATCAGCTATAAGCTCAAATATCATTTCTTTAAAAGCCTTTAAACCCAGGTGAAGTCCTGTCCTTCACTTGCCTCGAGAGAGTATTATCTCGAAGGGGGGCTTATATCACAAGGTTCTGCGGTTTAGATTCCCTCACCATTTGCTTAGTATTTCCGTTTTACGCCTCTCAGCGGTTTCATTACAATCCGTCTTATCATTTTTTACTATTTCATGATAATGCGCACGAGAGAGCAATTGAAATTGTAATCGTTTCTGAGACCATCAATACCATAACGGTGAAATTAACACGTCAGCTTTCCCATAAGACGTTTTGTAGTTGTCTGAGAATGCTGATTCAGCTATGTGGAAAAAATTAAATATTCATAATTGTAGTTGTCTGAGAATGCTGATTCAGCTATGTGGAAAAAATTAAATATTCATAATTATAAACCTTGTATATGGTCCAGTTCGCTACCAAATTATCAGTAGCACAGTTGGTAAAACATCAGGCCGTCATTCTCATAAGGTCTGAAGTTCGAATTCTTACGCGGTCTCAAAATGTTCATCTTTGTCCCATACTCGTAACAACAACTATTAAGCTTCTCTGGGTGACAGTCTATTTGTTGACTGCCTTTAAACTAATTTATTGATTTCTGTCTGTTCTTATTAAAACAGGAGAAAGGTGTCGTTTAGAGGAATTCAATAAAAACGTGCGATCAGGGAAGGAGGACATAGGCTTGCTTAAAAACAGGCACAAAGGTACTCTTTTTGAAACAAACAACAGTTTTGGAGGGGCTTTTTGTTAATCCTTTCATCGTAATTGAGCACGATGAAAGACGTGAATCTTAATTTCAAGGAATCTGACCTTTCATAACCCTTTAATTCCCATGAGTGACCAAGACAGAATTTCTCCTTACAATATTAATTCAATATCAACCAGATAAGTGATGAGAATAAAGAAAAATATCAATTTGAGGATAATTTGTTGATCCAATACTAAATTCTCTGTACTATCATTATAAGAATTGTATGGTTGACAGTAAGGAGAATTTAAAATTTGATCTGGGAGATAAAGGGTTAAATAATTTTCTCCTCGGTCACTCTAGACTCATTGACAGATGAACCTCCTCATAAGAAATACAGAAGCCTGTCACGTAAGGCGCAACACTCAGATGACTCAGACGGTAAACACAATTTCCACAGAGACGATCCACAGATTGGTGTCTGTCTTCAATATCTCAGGTATTTTACTGGGCAATACCTTGTTTCTGAGACTATGAGTTCATAACACAAAGTGATTCACTCCGATTGCATGAACAACTTAAATTGTTTAATGCTAGGAGTATAGAGGAACCTCTTTTTTGTGACACACGCTCGTTCAAGGGGCATAAACGTTAATTTAGATTTAAGACATTCTTCTCATAATTTGGCATCTGTTACTTTAATTGAAGAGAAACCTCTATCTGGGAAACTCTTTTCTAGTCCGGAGAAATCTTTTAAGTAACGTAATTGCTCTTGGATTCTTTTTTCCTTATTATTTGTCTCATCTCATTTTTAACCTTTGATAGTCGCCCTTATGGCAGTTCTTACTGAAACGACCCGAGTTCGATTCTCCAAACGAGGAGTTGAGCTTGTTTCAGGTTCTTGTCCAAGATCTGAGAGTTTTTCTTCAGGCTCTCAGGTCCTCCTCCCTTCACAAAAGCGAGATGGAATTGGAAACAGTGAACATGAAGAGCCACCTTATAGAAGTCCACTGTTACTTTCAATTCATCCAATCCCATTTATATCCATTGAGCAATCATGCTAACTCTGTTTTCACCTTTGCAGGGACTGTATCGATGATGGATCAGAATGCGGCGAAGCAAAACCTGACTCTGGAAACACGGAATCCCAGAAACTATCCGAAAGGTGCAAAAAACTATCTTGTATTTTAAAGAAAATACGTAAAATCGCCATATGTGGGCGGACTGCGGAGTAAAATATCTCATTTTGATTGTGGAGGGCGAGTCTCAACTTGGGTGTGGAAAATGATATGTTTTGGTCTGATACAGGGTGAGGACTTGAAGAAGGGACGGCACACCCTTGCTAAGAATTTCAAGGACGATACCCTCTCCCACCACTCCTCCCCGGATAGATAGCCTATTTGGTTTCATTGCGGGAACAGAATATCTGCCTGATATCTATCATTCTGTTTTCTTTAATCTCACTAACTGTGGTTAATCTTTTTATAGATCCAGAGAAGAGTCGAATTTAAATGGTCCGATGTGGGAACTCGTTAGGAAATACATCAGATGCTCGTCAAGAACAACAATCGGTCACATCAAGAAATATCTAAAGCTCAAGCTAAATCTTTCAGCTGTCGATCAGGTATAAAATTGGCTATTGACCTTGGAAAACAACTAAGCAGTAAACTTCAAAAGTTCGTCAGTGATCTTCCGCTAAATAACTGGCAAATCTTCCTCTTAGATGCTTCACATTTGCTCAATAAAATAGTTTTAGAGAATTTGGCATTTTACCAATATAGTGCTCTCCAGCTTATAAGTCAATCTACTCTCATCACCTGCGTACAAGATAAAGTATCAAAACAGTGGGGAGAAGTAGAGTGTTAATCAGTCTGGCTACACGTTCGCCGAACCTATGCCCTCTCGTTAAATTATCTTGCTCCTTAAATTTCCACTGATGGTGTGAATCAGAAACATATCATGGTTCCTTCAGAGTTGCCTTTTACTTGATTAAAAGAAAAAAAGGCCTTATTTTAAAAACGCAATGCGGTTAATTGCTGTCCTTAACAGGTTGAAGTGATGTGCAACGGAGAAATCATGGGTAAAGATCACACTCTAGAGTTCGTTTTCATGACAAGATGGAGGGTGAAGGCAAGTAGAACTCATCAAAATGAATTTTATTCTGAAATAATGGTCGTACATTGTGAGAGCCTGGTTTTTGGATTATCCTATGCACGTGTTAAATTGTGTTGTGTGTGCGTGAGACAGGGTTGGCGAATTGAACACCGCGTAAAATTAGAAAAGGCTAGTGCACAATCTCCTGGACCCAGTTGTTCGAAGGCCGATTTGTGCTAACCCAAGGTTAAATTTTAACCCAGGTTTCTTCATTCCTTTATTCAAAAGCCTTTTTTTTCTGTATCCTTTTTAGAGCATCCAATAACCTTATTCTAGACTGAATTTTCTTTGAAAGTTTTCAGATCTTAAATAAGATTTCACACTAATTCTGGGTTAACTTAACCCAGCTCTCAACAACCCAGCCCAGGACTTGTTGGGCGAGCTATTTCGCATGTTTTATAGTTTTGTTCTCAGTGCACTGGTATCGACGCCTCGCATCGTCAATGCGAAATATCTATACAGCGTCTCCATATTGGATGCTACTCATTTTGCGCACACGAAAATTTCATTGTTTACACAAAGCTAATGGGAAACGCGTTTCCAAATATGTTTTAGATCTTTGCGACATCGTGTGAGTCAGGTCAAATGTAATTACGAGGCAATTTCTGGATTTGGCTTCAGCGATCGCCTTTTGAGATTTTTAGATAAGAATACAGAATTCCAATTTATTGCACCAGTTAGCTTGTTTTTTATGAAGGGTCTTGACGTGATGACAACCATTTCATGTTTTTTTAGTGAATGCTTCTATCTTTGCATACATTTAACTAGTTAACTCTTTCTCCCAAAGATAACTTTGTTTAACTTTTTTCTCCTTTCACAGGACAGTACAATTTTAACCCTCCAGTACCGACCTAAACTGGATTTTTTATGACAATTGAATAAAAGATTTTAGTTAAAAACAGAGAACACTCTAATTAACATGTAACCTCTTCTTAGACAAATTCAAGCCATATTCACCAAACAAGTCTCAAGAATAGAAAAATTGGCCAGCTCCAGTGTTTGTCTTGATTTCTCTTTTACTTCACATCACTCTTTACCAATTCACAAGGAAATGCAGCTAAAAGGAAAATTGATTATTAGCTGTTTACAGTTTAAAGGTTAATGTAGTTTGTTTTTTCTTTAGAAATCACAAGTTATTTATTTTATTAGTTCAGAGAAAGAGGGAAAAACCCAAACTTTAATCTTCCTCTGAAAAGGGCGGAGGGAGGAGGCTTGAACCAGTCTCCTTCCTCTATAAAAGATTTAGCCTGCGAGTTAAATGGCAATCCGAACTAGTCTTGATGACGCTTCTATTTGGTAGGGTTGACTAATTTTCACGTCTTCTTGAAAATCAGTAATAGATGAAACATCATCTTGAACGATTTCCCCTTCCAGCCAATTGCGCTTCTTGAAGAACGATTTGCTGGCCCCAACTTTTTACTACCGCAATGAAACTCCGCCAGTTCAGCGGTACCTTTTCACTCCCGAGATTTCATCAGTAATTCTCCTTACTGGCTGCAATACAACTCATATGATGTGAGTTTGGCAATTTCCTAGTGGATCAACAAGTAATGCCATATTTGATGTTTTTCTATATTCTTATCACTTTTCTGCTTGATATTGTATTGATATTGTAAGGAGAAATTCTGTCTTAGTCACTCTTGGAAGTTAAGAACTTAAGAAGGGTGTTCAGTTCGTTGAGTTGAGCACATGGTTAACTTCTTTACATAATCTCGTTGTGTTTTACTTTGTAACTTCGAGAAATCCTACATTTGCTGACAAGAAATTTTCAATCCTGTCACCTTATAGTTTTATTGCTTATACGGCGGCTTTTGTTTATTTTTATTTGTTTGTTATGTTTTGAAGTTTGGTAGTTTGAGTTACCTTAGCTGCAACTTTTCGTACGGGTTATTAAACCAAGCGCTCTATTTTCGACTAAATATAATTCTAAGAGCATTGTTCTCTTTAAACGACAATAGGAATTTGATCTTAAGCTAGCAATTAAGGAACTGCACGTCGATTCTAAGACGTATGTAGTAAGATCGAATCAATATTAGTTTGTTCTCAATTAGATATTGTAAATATTGTATATGGGCATGTAATGTTTTTGTAAAAAAAAAACCCTTTATTAAACTAATATAAAGATATCAATAAATTGTTTACAGTATATACTTTGTTTACTTGAACTGTGAGGGTTTTTTGTAAACAAGAAATTAACAATAGCTATAGAATGTTGAAATTTTTCATGAGTTCCCAAACTTAGTATGGCATCCAGTTTTGTTTTCTGTGGATTCCAGATTTGCGCAGGAAATTTTTTATCTGCTGCCAAAAAATATCGAAGTTGTTCACTCTTGTCCTACCAGTATGATACACTTTTAGAGCAGAGAGTCGAAATAATGCCGTTTTCGCCTAACTTCTAGATTTTTAGTTGTTTTTAAGAAGAAAGCTGGAGTTATTTAAGTCGTCAATGTGTTTACGCTGAAAGTTCTGAAACTTACTGAGATGGAAAATCACCTAGAGGAGATAGTACGGTTCACAGAACTTGTTTTTTTTTTTTTTGTTATTGAAGTATGCAAATTTCCAACAAACCTTGGCCTTAATGATTGTGATCATGCAAATAATCTTATACCCAATCTTCTAAATGAAATTTATTGGATCACAATGAATTGTTGTCCTTTTATGATGTCGTCACTTCCGATGTGAATCGCGACGTTTCGACTACGTGCTGCGAGTCTTCCTCAGGCGATGAGGTTGCAGGACTAATTACGTGCACGAAAAAATTTTGATGCATTATGCTCTGCTGTGATTGATTGATTTTCACCAGATTTAATCGCCTTTGACAGTTTAGAGGTCTATCTTATCCTAAGTATGAACCTTCGATCGGCTACAAATATCTGGTTCAATCAGGAGGCCAAGTATCTGATATGTAACTGCGTGGTTCCTTGTCTACATGAAGGTTATCCAGGCAGTTCTGTTCACTGACAATGATTTCATCAAGTTTTTTTCTAGTCGTAGGAAGGGTAATTTGGCAAACCTCCTGGTTCTTCATGTTTCAGATGCGTGGGCCATCAAGATTTTTTCCTCTCCTTTGAAAATGCCATGTTTTTTTTTTTCTCTCAGTTGTAAATGTTTTTTTAGATATAGCAAAAAGGATCAGCTGCAACTTGGCAACAGATGTAATTACAACCACCGCTCTTTGTCGATAATTTAACCGGACACTAACTACCAAACGCTTTCCCGTTTAATCCGAGATTTCAAAGAATATAGAAATGATGTTGCCTTGTTGATAATCAGCGATGTTGAAAAATGAAATACATTGACGACTTCTTTAAGTCGGCTTTGGAAACTTAAACAACCATTTTTAAAATCTGAATTATTCTGGAAACTCTTGTTTTGCTACGCAACCTGACAGCAACAGGAGAACGTATAAATGCTGTCACGATTTCTATTGTGAAAGGTTGATTTGGTCTTTTCCGAGTTCGGCTGATTTATAATCCGAGTCAGTCACCCTTATCTGAAAACCCTGCTCGTTCTTTATCCATCAATTCTTACCTTATTGGTATTTTTCTCCCTTAGGAAAAAATTATTCATGTGGTTTTAATCTATTTGAAAGCGATTATCTACGGCTCCATAAGGGACCTAAATCGCAGAAGGAAGATGTTAAATTTTCAGGTCTGCATTGGTTTAGAGAAAGATATCATTCACCTCGTTGCGAGCGTGAGGCAAAGAAAACAGATGTGTTCCCTTGTGTAATAAAATCCCAGAACTTTGGACTCGGAGCTCCGATTCTCTACCCCTGAGTGACAGATAACTTCATGACGGGTCAGGCTATTAGAATGTTTAAATGTGACACGTAAATGGTCTCATATTATTCCTTATTTCAGCATAGTCCCTCAATGGTGCCCTCTCATCCTGAAACGAATAATTTGCTGCCTCACGAAAATCAACAGAAGTGCATTGACGCGCATTTTTTCTACACGAAACTGAAAATTGCTTCAGTCAGTTTGAGGACTCGGAAAACATAAAATGTGATGAAGAAATTAAAACTATGTGCAGTTGCCTCAAACGGAGCTAAAACAAAAGAGTTCTACAGCAAGCGACTTTGTTTAATTTGAATTGTGTATTTTGCATTGTTATTTGTTTCTTTCCGTTGAGTGTCATTCAAAATTAGTAGAAAAATACAGAAAGTAGACTTGTCATTCTTCCACTGACATGTTTAAGACACTAACGTGTTTACATATTAGAACTTCTCTTAATGTTAATTCAAGCTCACTCGGGACAACATCTCCCCGCGGCACTCAAAAAAGTGAACTCAAGAAAAAACATCATTAATAGCCGTTTATGCTGGAGATATTTACTGCTGTGATACACCTTTATAATACTTCACGTAGGTCGAATCGATATCCCACGAAATTAAACGGATGAGGATTTATTTTGGCTGACATTTGCGGCGAACAGTTGCCCTTCGTAATTTCCTTAATATTTTACGTTTGTGATCTAAATGTATTCTGTTTTAAATTTTTAATGACCATCGGTGTCACTTTCAGTGTTTGAGGTTTGTTCAGTTGTCTTTTGTAGATATTCACTGAAGATTTACATAATACTATTATCCCTCTCTCGTACCGTCAATTCTTATCTAAATATTGCTTTAGCATTTCCAAGTTTAAGAAAACAATATAGCTATAAATTAACCGAGGAAGTTGCTTCTGCGGGGATGCACGCGAATGTATCCTGGCTTATCTTGAAAAAACCGCTTAATCTAAGCCGTCAGAATTTCCCGCAACCGAAATACCAATTTTTTGGCTACAAAGCTTAATTCCTATTTTAGAGAAAAGGTTGTGACATTCTCGCCATCAAGAGTCATTAAGATTTTCCTTTGTCCGACTGCATTCTTTATTGTATTGTTCGTGTGTTTTTGAACTTCCTTTTTCTATATTTTTTAATCGCACAATTCGAGTTGCGTTGGGTACGTATGAACTTTTACTTATAACTTTCTAAATAATTTCTAAACAAAGTTTAACTTTGTGAGATTTTATCATAGGACAATTTAATTTCTCAGACGCGTTTCGAACAGTTGATTACTTCATGCTCCGTGGTAACTGAAAGAATAGAACTTGAAGTGACCATTATTTGGCAATTAACAAGTTAGTGCGTTGATTGCAGTTGAGTTTTTAAGTTGATTCACAGGAGTTTCACCGCCCGGTGATTATTTAGATATATCCAGCTGATGAGTTAATAAACAAGTTTGCTCCTTTATCCAATTGGTTGTTTTGTTTCTATCCGGGAATTTTGATCATTCGCGACCGCAGGCCACACGAATAGAGGTCGTAAAGAGATTTGCTGTGTTGTCACAGAATACAGAAGAATTGACAAGACCGACCAGCCGTACGTCTGTCTAAATTCAAATGGCCGTTCTTCAGGTAAATGAAGTCCAAACGTTCCTCTCTTCCTCTCAATCAGGTTCTCAAATAATGTTTTTTTGTTAACAACGTATTCCAGGCCCGCTTACTTCTGATTTCAGAGCTGGCGATGCTTCTAAAAAGAGTAATGTATTAGCAAAGGGTCATATGTAATGGCGGCAACTTCAAGCGTGCATTTACCATTTCACTGCGTACATACGTCAGTAATTTGAAACACGAAATTGACACAAGTGAAAGCTATGACGTGCTCTTAAGAGAAGGGGAATGCAATGGGGCATATCCTTCCTGCCAACAATATTTCTTGTAAAGGGATAATTACAATATAAAACAGGAATCACTTCCCTCAAATTTTCTCAAACGTGATACTGGAAATGTATGAAATTCCAGCCAGTTAAATCGCGTCAAAGCATGGTAAATATTTTAGTACTGACCAACTTGGTACGAGTATAGTGTCACTTAGGTTATTACCTTTATAATACCCCGCTAATCATAATCAGTTACTCGTGGGATTCGATTCCATTAATCACTCACCAAAAACAACGGTGCAAGCCTTGTATTTGACGCCACTGTTACAACCGATCTACGTGAAGCAAAATTTCACCAAGAAATGGCGCCTTTTAATTCCTGCTTCCAAAATCAATTACTGAGAATGAAATTGTCAAACATCAGCAGAAATTGTTTTAATTCTGTTTTGATTGAGCGCTACCGTCAAAGAAAACAACTTATTTTATCGAGAGACATCAGGTAGCCGTCCCTCCGATGCGACAAACACCTGTTTGGAAAAAACAAGACCTCAAAATTTACCTCGGAAATTTCTCCCTCTACTCTTACTTAGAAAGTACTAGAACTTAAAGAGGAGATTGCGAGTGCTTTAAACGTATATTGTTTGATGTTCCATGATATCTATGATGTGTATGTTCTATTAGTCAAACAGGGAGAAGAAACTCAGGCTTCAAGATCTGAACTTGTTCATTACATGCAAACTTTGCAGTGGATATCTGATTAAACCGACGACGATCACGGAGTGTCTTCACACATGTAGGTACCCCGGGATAAACGAAACGCTTTTGTTTCAAACGGCAACAATTTGGTCGCGATAAAGAAAATATAAGCCCTGTCCATCGCTTCTGGGAGTTAAATAATCAACAAAAACCGGTATCAAGTTTTGATAACGCAAACATAAATGTGTCTCTTCTCTTAACTAAAGTGAAATACGGCAATTTCCATTTGTTGTGAAACTGTCGCCTTCTCAGCGCATTAAAAAACATCTGCCTGCGTTTGTTATGAACGACCATCAAACACTATTCATTTCTTTATTAGTTTAACTCATGGAGGTAAAACTTTTAAGAAGATCTTTTGAAGGCGACTGAACGGCGTATTTTGCCTCTTTCGCCGTGTTTCGCCCAAATGCAACATAAGGTGGTAGAAAACGCGAATTCTGGATTTCAGCATTGCTTTCGTTCGGACATTAAAAACCAATCCAAGCTAGTGATTTACGAGTGATTCTCCATTTCAAAGTCATAATTATTCATAAGATGGCACACTTTTGACGCTTTTAGATAATTTTATTAGATACAACAGTAGGGAGTGATAAGCCTAAATTATGATAACAATTGCGAAACTTATAACACGACCAGTAAGCAAACATCAAAGGCTTTCCTTCATACAGAGAGGTTCGTGTACCTCGACCGTGGCCGTTCTGGTGAAGCAGCAGTCCGCGACAACGGCGAAATAAAAGCTTTTCCTTAGCTACAGCTGCTACTTAAGTCCGCAATTGTTCAAGTTTCGTTATTTATTCTGTGTCCTAGGAGATAATAAAGTACCCCTGAGGGAATATACATTACAATATTAACAGATTGCCAACGGCGAGCTGTTCGATAAGTGCTCATAGATAAATCTGAATATGCGTGTTTTACGCGTCTACTGAACGAGTTTAAATTATTTGGCAAATAACGCAAATTATACACGAAATAAGCCGTGGTATACTTGAAAGGTCAGAGAATGGCAGGAACGATGACCTTATTGTAAACACGCTCTACTGAAACAAAGAGAGTGATTAGCTTTAGTCAGCTACACAGTCAAGTTTGTTTGTTTCTACGAATAATTACGTTTCTCTAGGCTTGAAAAAGAGATTAGTCCGGCTTACATTTGAGAAAATTAGTTTGAAACAGCAAAATTAGGAAAAATGCGAAGTTAATTTGGCTTATCCAAGAACTAAATGTGTTTATCTATAAGAAGTCTTTTTTTTTGTCAATTCTTTTCACAAATATAATTTTCCTTAAGTAATACCTTAATCTAATCATGCGACAAACATTGTTGCTAGCTCAACGGTTGTGTAACGTGAAGTAAAGAAATTCTGACCGTTGTTCATCATTTTTTTGCATTCGTGATTCGTCATTTGCGCCCAATATATATCTCATCAAAAGCCGGATAGTTCTGCTCGGACACAGATAAGAACGGCGTGCACTTCACAATTGATTGTCTTGTCACTAAAAAGGCATAATTGCATGTGATATAAGATTCAGGGATTACATGCAAACCCAAGTAAACGGGTTGTACTCCTCGAAATTCTGAACCAGACGTTCAAAGGCAGTGACCAATCATTCATATAGAAAATTTTTAAAGGTTATCACCTACTCGGTGAGTCTTTGCAATTACGTGCACAGAATGCTTGGTTTTTAGCTTTATTTACACAGAAAGGAGCGTCATGGATTTAACTTAATTCAGCTATGTACATAGACCACAACAAGGATCATCTCACACTTTTCAAACAACGGTTTTTTAATGAATGAGAATGTGGTTTTTGTGTGCACTAGGACAAACTGCTGTCGGCTTCCTCATTCATGTCTATCGGTCTGGACAATGTGGATTACCTAAATCGATTATTGCCCTACGAATTTGGATTCCGGCTTAAAATCATTAGAGATCTGTGAAATCCAATAAGTGATTTCTTCGCGAACTTGACATAGTTATGGTGATAAACTGACAGAAAAAACCGTCTGGTATTTGTGACCGCAGGAGATTTTGTCATGAGTGTGCGTAATGCGAGTTCGCGTGCCTGCCACGGCTATGGCAGGAAAATTGAGACGTAACCATATATACTTCACAGCAACTATCGCTATGGGGAAAATACTAACGCACAGCGTAATGACCTTTATTGGGAAAAAAATTATAGACAGCTCCACGTCAACCGTGTCCACTTAAGGTAAGTAACAGAAAGTCCAGACACTCGTTCTTATAGGAACCTTAACCCTTTACGCCCTAATATCAGTATGTATATTCTCCATACTGTTCATCATACATTTCCTAAGGTGCTGACAAGGAGAATTTGTCTAACAATCAAGAGCTTCTTTAGTTAATGATCATTTCCTTTATTCTCAGTGACCTTGATGTGTGATTCAGGGGAGATATAGCAGGGAGAAATTAGATGTTAGTCACTCTTAGGGATGAAAGGGTTAAAGAAAGTCGAGGAAGAGATTTGCCAAAGCTTTTTCGAAAATTTTGCTCATGGAAGAAGTAACTAGAAATATACCTCAGACTGAGAGTTAGATAAGTACGTTTAACTTCTCCGCTATTTTCAACGAACAGAGGCAGGAAAATTGTGAGATTGTACAGTTTACTCAAATAGTTGGGGAAATGTTTATCTAACATTAATTATGCTGCACTAACCGTTTGAAGTTTATCTCACTTTGCAGTCGAACTCAACCTAAAAAGTTTCTTGGCCGCACAAGCTTGTAACTTTAAGAACATTTTAAGGACGTTTTCAGGCTTAAAACGCGAAAAAACGGTTGTGTCGCAACACCAAATTTAAACGCGCTTGAAAAAAAGAAAGAGATTGTAAAAGAGCAATCGGTTCTGAAGGGAGACGAAAACTAGTTGGGTCCAAGGAATGTTACGGTCGAACTATCGAGGTTTCGAGTTAAATTAGCGTAGGTGGATATAGTGCAAATTCAGAGGAAATTGATTTTGGTTCGAGTGAGTTTGGGTTTGAATTAACGGTATTCAAATGTATGTTCATGATGAAGACAGTGGGAGAGTTTTCTCAGTTGCCAGGAGCTCAATAAGTGATATCTTATATCATTATATCACTTGGTCTCGAGCTATGACACACTTTAGAGGAAAGACATCCGTTGACAAAAATCAAATAGAAGGAAAAAGACGTTTTCTAACAGGAGGAAGTGATGAAAGAAGTATCTCGTTGACTGCAGCAAAGTAGGTGATGTTGGGTTCAAAATGAACAGTTGACCCTTTGACCCCTAAGAGCGACTAGCTTCTAGTTAATCCTTATACAATATCAACCCTGGATCACATTAAGGTCACAAGAATAAAGTAAATGATCACCAAAGAAACTTTTAATTGGGAAACCAACTCTCCTTGTCAGTACCTTAGGTAATGTAAGGAGAATATGCATACAGGTGTTGGAATGTGAAGGATTGAGAGTCATTAAGGGCGCCATTTCGGCCCTGATGGTCACAAAGACTTATCATGGCTCTGTGACATCTCAACTTTAAGGTTTATAGAAGTTTACCAACCATTGTTTCTCATCATTACACGAGAGGCTTAATTGTCTTATTTTTTTCTTCCACAGTCTGCAGATCATGCATTGTGAGATACTTACAAGATAGGGACGACAATAAATGCCCCAGTTGCTCGATTCTCATTCATGAAACAAATCCATTTGAAATGCTCAGGTATTTGAGGTCGTGTCTTGTGTGTTACCATGTAGTCTGATCTTCTTCCACGCAAATGTTATAGCTTTTGGTCAGAGAGGACCTGAAAATTGTAATCGTATATCGAAGATCAAACGATCCTTATGAACGCTGTGATAAAGAAAAGGGGGAAGACGGCGATAGATTCACTGTTTTAAGTAATAATGGTTCCCTTTAGAAGTTATGAGCGTATATTTCTGTACATCCAAGAACGCAGTGTAAAATTTTGAGTTATACAATTTTGTTCTTGCGAAGGCACAAGACTGAGGTAGCGGTATATTATGAGATTAGCTCGAACGCGCAAAATTTCAGTTTTAAAGTCACCTTTGTTGCATCAGAGTAGACAATACCATCGACAATTCCTGCTTTTACATCTATTTTATCAAAGCACGTGTACAGTAATACGTAAAGGTCTAGAAAAGAGTATTTCCAGTCCTTACCGCGCGAGTAACATTGTTACTTGTGAGTTATATATACACGTCTCATCTCAGAAATTAAGTAGACGACTAGTAGTTCCACGCAAATGAAAACATGGCTACACAATCGGCGAACGATTTCGTGCTTTCCAGTTTCCAGGTGAAGTATGTTAGCTTAGCGATCGTTTGACAGCAATAAGATGTTAAAAATAAAAGCTTTCCCTATGTATTTTTGTTGACAGGTTGGATAAGACGCTGGAGGATGTAATTTACAAACTTATTCCCGAGCTACAAGCTAGTAAGCCATGTAACGCTTTTGACTCTAATTGAGAACAAAAAAAACAAACAATATTTTAACGTAGAGAGGTTACCTGTTGGGTATCGCAATTTTACTTAAGGTCGCTGGATAAAGTTTACCCGAGCTCTTACCAGTTAGATTAAGAGCGCTCAAAGACCAACCCTCCCCCTATGCAGTCGAACGATTTTCACGCTTATGTTGACCAAAGGGTTGAAGTTTGTAATTGTGACTGTGGCATTGCAGTCGTCGTTTATATTCCAATGTTATGGGGAAATCCAGTTGAACAGTTTTTGAGAGCGGTTTCGAAAAATCCACCATATTTTTTCTTAACCTCAGGATTTTCATTCTCGGGGTGAGGCCTCAGTGTTGAACCAGCCACCTTTACAAGAGATCTCCCTCGCGTAAACTTATAAATCTCAGTAGAATTTCTTGTCTTTTAATTCTTAAAGTTTTTTAACAAATTTGTGAATTTTGTTACTAGTAATTGTAATTTTATACAGCTTGCAGTTTTATATCACATTATACCCATTTTGTTGAGTAATATCAAATATTCTCAGAACTGATATTACATCTTCAGAGAGCGGTAAACCGACTGTTAACTCTCCTGAGGCCCGTTTCTTGAAGGTTCCGGTAATTTATCCGTCAAGCTGTTCTGTTTTAATTCGAGATGGAAGTTTCAAAAGTTTTCAAAATTATACAATAAGCCAATCAGTTAAAAGAAAACCAAAATGTTGTGGTTAGGACGCCGGAACCTGCTTCGCTATTCTTTAAATTTTGAATTTAAGATGTGGCTCAGTTCGGGACCGATAAATCACCGAATCTTTCGAGAGACGGGCCCCTGATCTGAAAATAACCACTCGAAGCCTTAAAGACCAAGCTCAGTTTAGTCCCAAATTCAAGCGTTGATAATAAGCTGCATGTAAGATTAGAGTCGACGGAAGAAAATGGTGGACAGTACTGTGAGTAAGGTAACAAAAAATTGTAATTGGTTTCAGACGAGGAAGAGAGAGAACAAGAATTTTACAAGCAACAAAATGTCGAGGAGAGAAAGAAAATAAAGGAAGAACACATAGAAAATGGAACGAATGGTAAACATTTTGTCAATTTGTAATTTTGTTTCTCAATCTTCACTTATTTTCTAAATTTCGGTTACGCCTACCGACCCTAAACAATAGGGGGGGGGGGTTTCATTACCGACTGTTTATTCTCTGTGATAAGCTTCATTCGTGCGAGATACATTCTGTTAGCAAAGTACTTTGCATCTCATCCACGTTGCATTAAAATTCATGCCAAACTTTGTCTGACCAGATATTAATAACTCTTCCTTTTCCGTTGGAATTCTAATTTCTAACATGTTAAATTGATAAAAAGTAAGACTCAGAGTGTTCACTTCCTTAACCAGGTTCGAAACTTTTCTCAGCTTCCGATTCAACAGATTACAAGCCTGCGAGTAAAAGAGTAAAACTCTCAGGAGATGAATACGACAGCGGAGCGAACTTCCATCGTGACGATCCTCAGATTGGAGTTTGTCTGGAATGTCTCTGGTAAGATCGAGATTTTTGCTAAACCCTCTTCCTCCCTGACCAATATTCCGATATGTTTTCTGAAGGAGAGTGCTGTTTTGAAGTTAAATAACTTTAAATCAGACTTTGGAGAGGCTCTTAAACGTGACTATGTAAACACTTGTCTACCCTCTCTGTGACCTTGGTCGCATTTGGCCACGCGCGAATACAATGCAATGGATTTTGTCAGTCAAGCGAACAAGTTGTAGAAGCAGCTCTTTTCCGCCAGAGGGAGGTGGATGGGTCTTTACTTAAAGTGTCAAACCCCGATTAGTCGAGTGATGTACCCTGTTTGAAGAAGAAGGCCCTGGAAACCATACTTCGTCCAGCGCATGATGCGTTCTCAATCAGGCCAGATAAGAAAGAAAAAGATTCCGAATCCGGACATCTTGTGGTTAGCAATAAAGCAAGCCAGGAGGTTACTTTAGGATGGCTCTTGGGACAATATTTATATAAGTCAAAAGTGGGTTAAATTTGAATCAGGTATTTGATGCCGCAAAATACTGCTATGAATGTAACTATTGATCTACTTGTTTCATACAAGACATCCAGGTAAAGTGACTGAAAGATGACTCAATCTGTTTCAGTGACAACTCAGTTCAAGAGCAGCCGATAAAAGAGCTGGTACGAAAATACATCCGCTGTTCATCTAGACTGACAATAGCTCAGGTCAAGAAATTCCTCAAAGTGAAGCTTGATCTAAGAACCGCTGACCAAGTAAGACAACGGGGAATTGTGTTTGAATTAAATGTAGAAAATTCCTTTCAAGAGACAACAGATTTTATATGCACATATTCCGTCTAGAAAGGGCTCTTCATTCCTTTTTTTGTGTAATTTCAGATCGAAGTGATGTGTAATGGAGAAATTATGGGCAAAGATCATACCTTGGAGTTTGTATACATGACTAGATGGAGAATAAAGGTGACAAAAACCTTTCTTAGAATTCTGGAGCTCGAAAGTTCTGTTGATTTAGTTTTCGATTTGGCTTTTTCTTAAAGTAGGAAACATTATTGTAAACATGAGATCGTGGAACCAAAACAGAACACTTCCAAAAATCCCCAATGTCGCAGAATTAAAATATGAATTTCCATTCGGAATGTTACTGAAAAATCTGTCAAATCATAGGTGGCGTTTCATCTTTAGAACTAGGTAACGGTCTCAGATACTCTTCCAAACGTACTGCGAATGGGGCGTATCAGAGGTTGTGTTATTAGTAGAGTTGCAGTTTAATGGGATAGTTCTCGGTATTTTCCTCATCATATTTTAATTTTCTTTCCAAGGAGGGATCTGTTCTCACTCTCCAATACAGGCCAAGAATGGATTTTCTCTGAGTGCAATACCAGGATTCAGTTTCTGCAATATCAACAACAACAGCGACGTTAAGTCCAAAGCCTCGTAGTTGTTCGAGCAAGTGACCTCTGCAGTAGACCATAAACGCCGAAAAAGTATAACAGAACGTACTAAAATGACCTTGATACATTTTTATATATCAAGATCATTTTAGTATTTTAAATCTTAAAAGATTTAAAGTACTGTAATTATCATTCAACTACAGAGTAAAAATGATATGCTAAGTAGTTCCCAAGAACTTGAATAAGGTTTTATCTCTTGAATCAGGAGGACCTTATTTGATGAAAATGACCCGGTCAATAGGAGAAGTAAACTCTGTAAATGTCATGATTTACCCTCGTTTGTTGGTTGCCCTATTAAAGCGTACCTACAAAGACATCTGGCCACTCAACGAGACTTACAATTGCATTGAAATCTTTCACAATATTGACCAAAACCCGATGGATTAAAATCCTCATGCTCAAGTCAGTTAGTAGCAAATTGTGCACTACCACTGAAAAATAGTCTTTCTGTACGTAATATGAATGCAATAAGTTTAAAACTAGAACATGTATAGCTCGTTGAAATAATCGTTCAACCAAAAGATAAATAAGTGATGCGAGTTTTTAATAAAGAAAGTCCACAAATGAAAACTATTATTATTACCATTATGCTTAAGCTCTGTATTATTTCAGCCTAATGCGCAGGCTAAAATAGTCAGAGACTTAATAAACCTGACGCAAACGGTAAGCAAAGCTGAAGCACTGTACCAGCTGTTTCAATTGTTACCCGACGACAGGTACCATTCTTTTCAAATCTGGAGCTCCGCGCACCAACTTAACGACGAACACTGAGTTGGTTTTTCCATACTCGATGTATAAACGTACCACGGAGACATATCTTCTTTAAATATCCATGGCTACTGATGTTTCCGCAAAAATAGAAAACATAATAACTAAAACTGCACGGTGGTAAAAAAATTTTTAAGTTTTATTCTTAGCTTGTGACCTTTCAAGCATTCTTATTACGTTTTCTTGTCACGGAGTCATCACTACATCTTTCTCTAATCCTTAACTTTCCTTCCCTGAGCACTTTATTTCCGTTACCCATCCATCTTCCTCTTTGCACCAGTGCAGTAAACTCCTGGTTGCATCACGTTTGGTTTATAAATTTTGAACCATCAAGTTCCATAAGACCAACGCATAAACAGCATCTTAACGCAAAACCTTACTATGCCCTTCACTCTAATTCAGCTCATTTGCCAAGATGACACCGTCTTTTGAAAGATTCAGCAAAATTTCTTTAATTGTGCAAACACCGAAAGGCATCTGCTTTGAGTTTGAGTTTCAAGAACGAGTTTGATCCTCCCTCTAAATCAAACCAAACCAGTTTTCCAATTTACCCCTTTTGCTGCCAACGGAAGTAAAGCCACCTGCTGAACGGTTGACATCTTAACTTTGGGGTTAGGGAGTAGGGTGTGAAAGGGGAACTACGGATGATTTTTGTCTTTCCATTGCGCAGCACTCTTTTCTTCACCGAATACTAAAACAAAATGCGCTCCGTTTTGCTCGATGAAACAGGATCATTAGTAAACAAGGCTTTATCTCAGCCAGTTGTAGTCAATCTGTTTCTTAACTATTACCTTATGTCAATTTATCATTTATTATTATATATTAATTATGTGGAATATAATCATTTAGTTTTTTTCCTTAAACATTTCAAAGGGTTTTTTCCTTTAATTATTTAGCAATGTTCCTCTATGTGACAATTTTAGACAATGTTTTAAGGGGGCAAACTAGAGCTACGAACGATGGATATCTCTCACTATTTATCTAAAAGATATCTAACCTGTATACTTTTATTACGTTAAAGATTTAACAGATTTTACTAAAAATGCAAATCTTTCCTTTTTTGTGTTCTATGACTTACAAAAATTTTGCTAAAATTTAAGAATATAAAGTTGTTTTAATAAAGTACTCGAGTTTTCAGCTATGCGTCGTTGTAACTGTCGGGATGATCTTCAAAAATACTATAAATGTCATCCCCATTACGGTTTCCATATGTCTCCCGTTCCTAAAATGTGTTTAACACTTTCAAATGTAAATGCAATCACTCCATTATCAACACCACCTGAGGTCATCAGGCAAAGGTATTTTATGAAACCATATTTGGATATTACTGTCATCGTTTGTGATAGAGTAAGTTGGAGCTTTAAGTAGGAGTTAAATAGAGAATTGAAACGCATTGCGCAGGGCGTATAAGCTAAAGATACTGAGAGAGGAAACAATTTCGAACAGTTTGCATACTCTACTTTAAAAGTAATATTTAAAAATACTATATAAGGCTTTTCGTCATAAAGTACTATTTTCGCGTGTGTTTAAAAGAAATCTAATCTTGGTCTGTACTGAAGAATAAGGACGGATCCCTCCTAAAAAGAGAAAACATGTTAAATATCGTAAAATGATCACAAAACTGTGCAACTCTTCAAAGAAGTCAGGTAAAATTAATAATCATTACCACTGGAACTGATTAATTATTTAAGTGGGATGAAAAGTAGCCCATTCACTGTCATCCACAAAACTACAATTCTAAGTGACATTTAACTTTCATACTCGCTATAGGTTTCTTCATTTTTACCTTCCCCTCCGTGAACAAATGTAACCTTCACGAACAAAACTTATTTTTGCTAAATAAAGCAAAAAAATTTAAGATTCAAGAACTGAAAAATATCGAAGACACCTTTCTTCGGCGGAAACCGATAAATTTACGTTCTGTAATACTTCTTATTGCTGCCTAAAATCTCTTGAATTCTTCAAAAGTGAACAGATATAGGTTTGAGAATTTCCATTACCTCTTGGGCTTAAAATAAGAGAGGAAACTGCCAATTGTCTTTTAAAAAGCTAAACAATGGCTTTAGAGGTGCACTGTTTCTTTTTTTGTCATTTTAACCCTTTGACTCCTGTGACCAGGACAGAACTTCTCCTTACAATATCGATACAATATCAATCAGACAGGTGATGAGAATAAAGAAAAATACTGATAAGTTTGAGGGTTTTTCAGTTGATCCAGCACCAAATTCTCAGAACTAACATCACAAGAATTGAATGGCAGACAGTAAGGAGAATTACTATTGAGATCCTGGGCGTTAGAGGGTTAAAACGAGAGTCAGGTTGACTTGCCTTTACTCTCCACCTTGTCATGTACACAAACTCCAAGGTGTGATCTTTACCCATGATTTCCCCGTTACACATCACCTCGACCTGAAAAAAACATACTCCGATTACACATGCTTTTTTTTCCTTTTATGAATCATCAAAAATCAGTTTTACTAGTTTTTGGTGTTTTCAAAACTGGTTATAGGTTTCTGAGTCCGCCAAATTAGTTTCATAAATTCCGAAAACCTCTCAAATCAGTTATGAAAAATACAGGATCTTAATATGGCGTCATCAAAAGTAGCTACTAGGGTGTCGCTAACCTGATCAGCAGTTTTGAGATCGAGCTTCATTTTTAAGAATTTCTTGACGTGCGCTATTGTCAGTCTTGATGAACAGCGGATGTATTTACGCACCAGTTTCTTTACGCACTGTTCTTCAGCAGAATCGTCACTAAAACAAAACAAAACTTGTGAGCAAAGCCCTCCCTTGCCCGTGCCCGTTTTGACAATCAAACTTAACTGATTGTTACAAATAAAAACTAATCAGCCGTATCTTTTTCTTGATCGAATTATTTTAATTTAAAGCCAGATATAGGTAAAATTCAGTCAAAAAGGATACAACAATGACGTTAAAATCGACAGAGTGAAGTAAGAAACATACCCGAGACATTCTAGGCAAACTCCGATCTGTGGGTCATCGCGATGGAAGTTTTCATCGGTTCCTGATAGCTTTGTTCGCTTAGCCATAGGCTCTTCAGTTTCATGTACTAAGGAGGGGGAAACATTACAACATGTAACAATATAAGAGGTGAAAGTCCCTTCCCAATTTACAAACTTTTTTTCCAATAACCTTACCAAAAATAAATAACACTACGTAAGCTGTTCGTTCATTCATAAGTGTTTCTGATTAAAGGACTTGTTCCTGGTCGAGAAGTCCATCGGGTTTTCTGTCAAACCTGCCAGTTCGACGCAAATCACGGAGAGAGTTTTCTTTGATTTGGGTTGTTTTACGTTATCAGAAGTGGTCTAAAACTTACATGATTAGGAAAAATATTACCTTGAGATAGCTTCATATCTACAATTTCTTTTGCTTTTACTGCGGTACCATCATTATGCTGCGCACAAAACTGTCTTTCGCGTTTGCATTCACCTAAAAAAACAACGTAAAGGTTACTCTGGAAACTGAGATGTCAGTTTTGAATAA